ACCTGTCAAATTAAATTTAAAAATAAATTTTTGAATAATTTTTATATAATAACCATCAAGCATTGCTTTTTCGATTATTTTTGTTGTTGATTTATTTATTTGTTTAGCCAAAATTTGTTCTGGATTGGTTGGGGAAAGGACAATAAATATACCTTTATCCTCATTTATTTTGTCTTTTTGATTTTCTTTTATTTGAACAGGGATTGACTTATTCCTATAAAATTTATTTATAAGCTACCAAATGTTTATTTTATAACTAAGTCCACAATTAGCATTATACTAATAACCAAAGTTGTACCCCAGGGATGGGACGGGTTGAGTAAAATGTCGCGTTGTTGTTCGGGTCGGGTTTTCAAAATTTCCTTTAGATCCGGTTTCAGGTAACCCGGCCCATCCATATTGACCCTGACTCATTATAGAACGATTTTTTATCATTTCCCACGACTCATTCACCTCCCTTACCCCACACACTTGAACGTTAATGGTATAATCCTAATATCAACCGATACCCCAGTCTCTTTAAATTCAGATTTATGTACAGAATTTTCGGATTTGGATATATTTTTAAAATTAAAAAATATTTTTCTAACCATTCCAAATAAGTCATAAAGAAATGTTCAATTAATTCAATTAAAGACACATTCGGATACAATATTTTTATTTTTGCTAACATTATAGAAATTGAATATTGGTCTAAGAAGCCAAAACGTTCTTGATTTACAAAATTATCTGAAAATTTTTTTCTTTTAATTTTTTCTTATAAAAACTTTTTACATACTTTTAGCCCAACGATTTAAAATAAATAAGGCTGTGGTAAATTTATTATTTTTAATATCCATTAATTCTTTTATAAAATTATTTGTTTCGTGTTTGTATAAATTCACATTTGTTTCAATTGTGAATTTAATTTCTTCAATATTTAATTCAATCATTTTTTGAGTGTTATTTCTATGTTTTTGTAAATGCTTGAAAGTTAACTTAATAATGAATTATTTAATTTTTTTCTAAAATTTGATTGATTAAGAAAATATAAGGGGATTAAGGAAATATCGAGAATCAAGGAGAGAGATTAATAAGATAGTATTTTTCTTGATGGCATTCCTACCGTTTAAGATGGCCCGTAGTCGGGTCGGGGTTCGGGTCGGGTGAGCAAAATAAAAATATATTCCTTACTAACGATTATTTTTCTTAAATATAACGTGGGTCAATTGAAATTTGAAGCAAAAAATAATGTTCAGAGGAATGCGGCTTAATCCCACAAAGACTTTTAATCTCAATCCCGATATCCTCTTATCCAAATAAACAGTTTGATTTTGCAAATATCTCAAAAAATGTTCGAACGAGACTTCGAACGGATAGATATTTCGAAAACTCGATCTCGATAATTAAGATTTTTGTTCAAGACTCATCTCGATACGATCTCTAGTTCTTAATGTTCCAAAAAATGGCTCACAGTAATTTGAGCCATTTTTTTCGCAGGCTCAAAGTAATTTTTTCAATAATTTAAAACAATTAAAGTTGTAATTAAGGATTTTTACACTTTTCAATAATAATAAAAAATTTAATATATCCAACCTCAAAATCCTTAAATTGTTCTTTACATAAAAAACAATAGAGGGAATTGTCTTTACAATTTTTCGAAATTAGAGGTTCACAAATTGACTTTTCAGAACCAAAATATTTTGAAACTAAATGGTCATTAAATACAATATTAATTTCAACATCTTCAATTACCCAAATACCAAACTCGTAAATCCCGCTAATTTTAAATTTGCCTTTAATCCCATTTTTAGACTTCCATTTATTTATTATTTTAATTAGTGTGCCAATTGCTTTTTTAATTATTTCCTCATCTTTTTTTATTTCTAAAAAATTTAATAGATTATTCTCCAAGTTAGTTATCTTTTCTATTTCTTTTCCGATTTGTAATTTCTCCCCCAGATTTTCTTCGTTTTTAATGTTTTTTGCTGAAATTTCTACTTCTTGTTCAACATCCTTCTTTCCTTTCTCTTCTTCCGTCCCCGCCCTTCCTTCCTTCTCTTCTTCCCTCGTTTCTTTTCTTTCCTCCTCTTTCCTTTCTTCATTCTTTTCTTCCCTCTCTTCCCTTTCCTCTTCATTCTGTTCTTTTCCTTTTGTCTTATTTTCTTCTTTTACCTCACATTCTTCCTTATCCATCCCTACCTTTACTTCTTCCTTCCTTTCCTTTACCTCCCCTACTTTTCTCTTTTCTTCCTCCTTTTCCTTCTTCTTTTCTTTTACCTCCTCCTCTTTCTTCTTTAAATTTATTTGAACGTTTTTATTAAGATTCTCTTCAATTTTTATTTCCTTTTCATCTTTAAATTCCTTGACTAAATACTCGTGTTTGTTAAAATCTTTTGTGGAACTTTTCACATCTTCCTCCAATCTCATTTCAATGCCATCTTCTTCTGATTTCTTTACATTTTCATTTTTAAATTCTTCAACTTTTGAAGTAAAATTAATTTTGTTATGTAAACTCAATTCTTTATTCGCTTTAATTTCTTCCTCAATTCTAATAGGCATCTTTCCTTTAATATCTTTTTCTTCTACAATTTCTTCCTTTTTAAAATTATTTAAAAAAGACTCTTCTTCTTCTTTCTTCTTTTGAATTTCCTCCTCCTCCTTTTCTTTTCCCTCCACTTCTTTAATCTCCTTTTCTCTCATATTTCCCTTCATTACCTCCAAATCCCTCTCTTCCTTCTCTTCTTCTTCCTCCCTTTCTGCCTCAAATTCTTCAAGAATCTTTGATGAACCTTTATTTTCCTTATCCAAATTTAATTTATTTTTCTTTTTATTTTTCTTTTTTGATTTATTCTTCTTTGTTTTTCCCTTAAAATTTAATTCTTTTTCCAATATATTTTTATTTTCATTTAAACTATCTTTATCAGAAGATGTTGAAATACTTTCTTTTTCCTCTTTATTTTTATAATTTAAAATTCTATAAATTTCATCGATACACTTTTCTGGTATCATTGATAGAAGATTGTTTTTTGTAGAATTGTTTAAGTCTAAAACTGAATAAGAGAGAAATTACCTTTTGTCGATTAATTGCCCCCTCTCTAATAACTAGGGATGGGATTTATATGGATTTCCATATTTTTTTCTGGCCTAGTTGGGTCATGAACGCTCAATAAATTGAGGAGGAAATCCATTTAATTTTTGATATTGTCTTAAACTGTTTCAATAATCAAAATTGACAATGATTTCATCAATATTTTTAAATTAGAGAAGGAAAAGGAGGGGGTAATTAATAAAGGGTATAATTATTCGAGCATTTACGGTATATAGTGAGAACCGGATGCCTAAAAAATTGTTCAGCGTAAAAACACACTTTTTAAACTTTTTACTCATGAGTCATGACATATCAGCTAACTAAATATATAAATTTTCTTGTTTAGTCAACACTAATTATACCAAAAATTTATTCTGCTCGCCAAAATATTCTTACATTAGATACACATTTAACTTAAACACTTACAAGACTTAATTGAATAAAAAAATCCTTCATCATTTTCTAGTAATTTAATTATATTTTTTAAATGTTCCTTTTTAAGCCATGTTGTAAAAGTGTTTGATGTTTCTTTAATATCATTATTATCACTTACATTCCGAAACTTTGCCCACGAATCAATTAAACTAATCGTTTTTGCATCATCATAATTTTTAGGACTTTTAGTATCGTTATTTTTTATCATTTTGCTTTCTTTAATTTTCATTTTTAAGTATTTTCTATTCTAAAATTAATTTATTTAAAAATTAGTATAAGAAATTTTAGCAAAAATCACTGATCTTAAATGTCTAACAAATCCAAAATAACCTAGATCCTAACTTCATCGACCTAGTTACCGTATTTTCTCTAATAGAGCTTCCGGCCGCTCTATTTTTCAATCCTCTCTCAAAGGGCGTGACCGGACAATCCGTCAGTGGCCAATCCGGCAGTGGAAAATCCGTCAGTGGACAATCCGTCAGTGGCCGGACAATTCGTCAGAGGACAATCCGTCAGTGAACAAATTCGTAATTCATACCTCTATCCAACCTAACGTGGCCAAAAATTTTCATTTTTTCGTGTGGGGGTTATAAGAGAAATCGAAAATTTGGCGATTAATGATAAAATCGGCAATTTTGGCTGGATTAAAAGAATATCAGTGGATTTGGGAGATATCGAGGATTTCAAAGTATATCGTGGAATTAATGGAAATACAATAGTTTGGAGTATTAGGGTGGTTATCTAAGATTTGGGAGTTTAATAGGGATTTCGTTGATTAAGTGTGATATCAAGGGATATAGAGAGATCGAGAGGATTTGGAGGTGGCTCCAAGATATTCCCCACCGTTATCGGAGTAACTTCCCCAATGTTCGGGTCAACTTCCACCGTGTTCGGGTCAACTTACCCCATGTTCCGAACAATGTTGTAGGGATTTAATGTCATACTATTCAGTTTCCGGAACAAATCCTCTGTAATGGACATGGGGCATTCCGATATTTAAACTATGTTTACAAATTTTTATACTCGCGCCAAAACGACCCCTGTGCCAAACCAGCAGGTGTCAAAACGGCCACGCCAAACCGGCCCCAACCCTTGGGTAGAGGTTTGAATTACGAATTTATTCACTGACGGATTGTCCACTGACGGATTGTCCGGCCTCTGACGGATTGTCCACTGACGGATTTTCCACTGACGGATTGTCCACTGACGGATTGTCCGGGAGCCCTCAAAGGGCCGCTCTTATGTATACGGCTGTCCAACTGGAGATGGGCGCTCAATTAGAGAAACTACGGTATCCGCCTTAAGATAATTTCTGATAGCAACACTGCATTTTCCAATTTAAAATGAGTTGCAGAATTATATAGACGCATTAGCGGTTCGCCCAGTAAAAAAGCATTTAAATTCCTCTAAAGTAGGGTTGCGCCCCGAGCCTTCGGGGTTGACAAAGTCGGGGTAGGGGTTTTAGGTCAAAAAATGTCGGGGTTCGGGGTCGGGGTTAGTCGGGGTTTACTATACATATACTTATTATAAAATATAATTGGAAAACCTCTGTTTTATATTCCTCATCAGTTACATTCATTTCATTATCCAACCCTTTCATAGTTCCTTCGAGAAAATAATTTACATTATTCTCATTAGATATTAAATTCTCGTAAATTAAAACAAAAACTTTTTCATAAACTAATATATTAGTTATTTTTATTCCTTTCCAAAATTCGGAGAAAACTTTTTTATTCTCCAAACTTTTCCAATCTCCTTTTCCGTCTAAAGGATTTATTTTTTCTTCCATAAATTTATACCAAACAAGTTGTTTTGCTGCAAGTTCATTTATTTTCCGTATTTTCTTTGAATATTCATCATCGGTATCACTAATTAAAGCATTCACATAATGCTCTTTAAGACGATTATTGCCATAATATACTTTAATTAAAACTATATTAGATTAATTTAATGTTTTCCCTCTCTTGAACTCCGAATCTCTCAAAGATCATCTATTAAAAATAGGGTAGCAACCGACCCTTCGGGGGTGGATGTGTCGGGATCGGGGTTGCCAGGAAAGGCACGTCGGGGTTCGGGTCGTGGTTTTTGCTAAAAATTCCGTCGGGGTCGAGGTTTTAGGAGTCGGATTGCTACCCTAATTAAGAATAATAATCAAATAAATTGATATAACTGAATAGCAAATGGTCTTAGCCCACCAAACTAACTCGGAACAGCTTGATTTTATAACCAGTGGTTGAAATTTTGAACTTTAGCCATTTAAAATGTTCTTATTTATTTTATTTTTTACGAATTTTGGTACGAGCTTACAATCACTTTATAACTAATACACAGTCCACGAGATATCTTTTAGTTCGGACTATTTAACTAATAAATTTATAGATCAACCTTCCTCATCTATCAGATCCATTTCTTCAACAAAATGTTTAAAATTCGCTATTTCTGCAAGGAATTTATAAATTATATATCTTGAAGATTTTTTTCTTTTAATTTTTTCCCTCAATTCCTCATTATTTTTTAATTCTTCTATTAAATAAAGAACGTGTTCATCACTTAAATATTTACTAATTTCTCTTTTAATATTTAATTCTTTATGTTCTTCAATATGAAGCTTTAATCCTTTCAATAATGATTTAACATCATTTTTTGTTTTTATTTTTTCAAATATTTCCGTATTATAAGACATAAATGATACAAAATAATATAAATTAAATAAATAATTATCTTCCTTGGTTTTTAGCCATAAATAAGCATTTTCCCTGTTTCCTTCGAATTTTTCTCTCAAAAAATCCAAAACCGCCAAGTATTTTATATTTTCCTTGTTTTCATTCCTTTTACTAATTATTGGAATAAGGCTTTCAAGATGAATACTTTTAATTAACAATATAGTAATGTGTAGACGTAATTCTTTTATTAAATTTAGTTTCTTGCTTAATTCATATTCATAACTTTTTTCTTCATTTAATAAAAACGCTTCTTTGTAAAGATACAAAAGAACTTCAGGCTGAACATCTTCTGTAATAATGTAAATATAGTCAAATCCGGTAGTGGTTCTTTTGGATATGTGCTAGGAGTATGATTTATTCTGACTGCCCTTAAGCATTACACCAATTAAAAACAAATTCTCGTCCATACCCAGAAAATAACATTTTAATAAGTGCCTAATATCCCATGGTTATCTTGTGAGGTCAGATAACGATGTTTACTAAAGTTAGGTTATAGTAACACTCCAGACAGCGAGGTTTATTTTTGAATTTTTAATTATCGTATTTTTAATCATCGTAAAACTATTTTTAAAGAAATTTAATTTTTTATATACTAGACATGTTACTAGACAAGAGTTTTAATCGCAGAAATACTACATACATCTGTAACAAATAAAAACTAAAAAATCCCAAAAACCACTATTTGACTTTACTCTATCATTTATATATTTCAAAATTAAAAATGGGATGTTTGCTATTTTTAAAGGAACCCTACCTATTATCATCAACTTCGGATATAATTCTTCTAACTGGGCAAGCAATTCAGATCCAAGCAAAGCCAAAAATGCTCCCTTGTTTAAATCTTGATTTTCAATAAAATTGTATAACTCATTAATTTTTGCGTTTAACAACATTTTTATGTTACTCAAATTTATAAAATAAAATTGTTTAATGCGAGAAGGCAAAAGATATTCTTCAATCGTTATTTCAATTTCTTGCTCAATTTGACAGTTAATATTTTGATTGGATGAATTTTCATCCTAAATTTATTTTAAATTATAAAATTTGTTTTTGTTGAGACTTAAAATAAAATTAAGACTAATGCTCCATCTAAAGTATGGAGTCTACTTTCTATCGAATAGCTTCCCGAGTAGTGTTAGTCCCCGACGGGGGGCCACGGGAGGGGGGGGGCAGGGACGGGACGGGGAATTTTCAAAAAATCTCCCAAATTCCCCGACTTTCCTGGACAAGGACCAATCCTATTCCCGAGTCTCTTTCTTTCTAATCTCCGTTCAATTAGGTATCAAAGGACATCTTCTGCCTGGTACGATGTCCACTCCCTCGTTGTTCCTCTCTAACATCGACAAAATCTGGTCCTGAGGGCTTAAGTTATATATAGTTTCTACTTTATACAGCCATTTAATAACAAAAATTTACTTCTTGTACGAATTCCTTCATCGTCTCTAATTTTTCTCTCCACACATTATTCTTCAAAAGCTCTTTATCCTTAACAAATAAATTAATAAAATTGTGTAATTCACAAAATTTTATTTTTTCATCTTCCAAACTATCCAATTTATTTTCTAACATTTTTGCTTTATTAACATATTCATTAAAAACATTTCCAAATAATTCATTCCATCCTTCTTCACTTCCAACAAAATTTTTATAAATTAAATTGGCAGATCCATTTATTCTAAAAATTCCAATAAAATAATTATAAAATTTTGAAATTATTTTAATTAAAAAATCCTTTAACAATTCCTTATTTCCCCCTTCAAAATTTTTAATAAATTCTAAATAGTCGTTGGCTATTGTAATCATTTCTTCATCTTCTTTTGTTTCTACAATAGCCCCTTCGTTAGGATTTACTTGTTTGCTTTTTTTGATTAATAAAATTAATAAAATTATTAAAAATAAAGTTTGATTTATTTTCATTTTATTTAATCTCTAAAATTTATTTTATTATTATTGTTATTTTATTTTTTCAAACTTTTAACGGGCCGAAAACATACTATGTATAGTAAAGCAGCTGGGCTATAGCTATTTCTCTCCTTTAGCTAGTGTAAAGGTTAATCGGCGGCTGGGAGCGAACCAGCATCTTCAGTAGACCGGACTAATGTGTTAGCCATTACACCACGCCGCCTACTGCCCTTAGGAATTAAATAGCTATATGCTTTACATTATCAATATTTTATTTTTTTTTGTTATAATATTTGTGTTTTGTCTTGATTAGTAATAGATATTAGGTGTTTTGAGGGTCCAACTCCGACCTTGTTCATTTTTAGAGCCGGTTTCGGAGCTAGCTCCTTGAGCTTTATCCAACAATGGTCCTATCTTTTGAAAATAAAGTTGTAGAATCTATAAGGAATTTTACTTGTTAGCCCTATTTTTAAAGTTAAGGAATAAATTTATTAACTGTTAAATGAATTTATTAATTCAAAAATATTTAGAAAATTAAAAAAATTAAAAGAGAAATAAATTGACTGCTTAAAGTGCATTATGAAATATCATTTACTTAAAAGTATTATGTAATGTTAGACAATAACAAATATTTTTTAAAATAGTTTTAGGTAAAACACGTGAATTTACATAAAGAAAGTAGCTAAACATTAAATATTTCGATAACAATTAAGATTACACAGCAACCTAAAATAAGCAAAGGCTGTTACTCTACTTTCAGTGCGGGAATATGGCTTAGTGGTTAGCGCGCCTACTCAGTAACGCTGAAACGGCCAAAATTAACATAATGTAAGCTGCTATTAGATTATCATAGGGAGAAAATGAATTCGCTGTTTTCGACTTTCCAAGAATTTTATTATATATTTTGGTCATTATATCCTAAGGCTACTTACTAATTACAAAACGTTGCTTGGAGAACAAACAAAAATCGGACCTAAATTTGCAAACATGCTCCTGGTACGACACTTTCATTTATGACTTCGGAAATCAGAACTCGAACCTTCGATCGATTCTTGATCGGACTATAAGAATCGGACTGCAAGACAAACTCAAAGCAAGATAAGGATCAGCTATAACAAAGGAAAATATTAAAATGTTATTCTTTTTTATTAATTAATTAGTAAAAATTAATACATAGAAATGAGGTTATTGCCCAATTAAAAAATGGCAGGATGAAGTTGTCCTTATATGCATTATGAAATGGTTATGAAATATTGCTTAGCAATAACATATTCATACATAAAGTGCATTTACATATATGTAAATTCATATGAATTAAACAAAAAATATATGTATGTATGTAGACATGAAAAGGATAAACGTTGGATGTCTAATAATTATGTAATCTTTATTAAAGTGTAAAAATTGGAGAAACCCACAGGAGGGAAGGAGTAAATAAACTTATTATTATCCGGCAAGTAAACGGATTGCTCTTCTGATTTAGAGTTCTATCAAATGATTAGGATTACTGGTTGGTGATTCTTTCCAGACTTAACTCCTCTCCTAAAGGTTCTAAATATTTGTCAGTTGGTCTTTCCTTTAATAGATCTGAGTGTAAACAAAATATGTCAATGTGATTTGGACCGAATTTTACAATGTCGGATCTGATTCTCATTTCGACTGGCACAATTTGATTAATTTGGCCAGGGAATTATTTGAAAGAATTATTATGCAACGATATCCGAAGGAGGTGATTTAATAAAGGAAATACGGTATATTAAAAAAGGGTTATTAATATTTTTTAATCACCTATCAGATCTAAATCAAATATATATGAATTACTACATTATTGTAAGGCCAAGTCCATCCTAAAATCACGTGAACAATAATGGCGCTCTGAACTTTGCGCTAAATAACGGAAGTTCCCAGAGCGATCCAAAGTATAGCACAAACGGCCATTCTCAGAGAGCAAATAGGCTCACTTATCTGATCGCATTAGCCATATTCACTCAGCCTTAAGGCGGTTCTAGGAATAAATGTACAAACAATAAAAGCTTTAAGAGAATAAGGAAAAAGGGTTCAGTCGACTAATCTTCTCTTCAATTATTGTGCAGCATTATTCCACCGGCCGGTGAAGGAAGTATTAAATAACAGCTAGCCTAGTGTCGATCCGGAGGGAAGACGTCTCCCAATCCGGAACTCCCCTGTATCCAGCGCTTGCCTATATTCTATACTCTGCGGAGTTCACACAAGGACGCTTGCGAGACTCCAATCCAACAACCCCACTTAGAAGGCACTGGGAAACGGGACCAACCGCTTTACTGGTAGCACCGGATGGTTCCCCGACCTTTGCCGAAATTGGGAAGATGAGTTGGAAATAGGCTGGGGAGACGGCAAATAGTATTTTAGCGCTCCAAATCCCGGGTCCTAAAAAAAAATACAAATTAAATAAAGTCTGAACCGAAAGAGATGACAGTATCCTCCGCGGGGGCCAAAAACTATTTAAGACTTGAATTTCTACCAATGGGTATAATGTGAAAAGGGGGAAGGAAGAATTTAATACCAGTCCGCGAACAGGAAAATTAATTTCATCAAAAAATATTTTTCTTAATTAATTTATAGGCAGACGCGCATGAACAAAAAAATGATCTTATCGTCCCAAGTAAAAAAAAACGAGTTAAAAAAAAAGTTTTAATTGAAACTTCTATTATTTTTATCAGATTTTTCATTCCTCGAAAATTTTTATTCCAAACTCCTTTCTTTTGTCGTAAAAATCCTTTTTTTGGCGCTGTCATATTTCTTTACAAATTTTCCTCTCATTTGTTAAGTTGAAAACTCTCATTAATCTAACACAAGATTAAAAAAAGATGTTCAACATTTTTTTTCACTTTCAATCTTACTTTTATAAAATTGTCTTTTCTCACATAACTGTTTAATATTAAACTGTAAATAAAAAAAAAATATATTTGTATTGAGAAAAGCATTAAAAAAAAAAGGAGCACATATACATTTTTAAAAAAAATTTTCTCATAGTAGTCCTATCCTTGTTTCTAGTTTCATTCGTACTTTATTTTTCCATTTTTTAAAACTTCCCCGCGGGGTCTCGAAATTGTTTTTTCCTTTTTCTTTTTTCCACTTTACCTTTTTTATGCTATTATCTGAAATCTTTTGTGGCAAATGAATGTTTTGGTGGCAAATGAATGTCTTTAATGGCAAATGAATGTATTTGGTCAGATTCTGGGACTCAGGAAGTTGGCATTGCAAGTTTACCCTTTTAGAACTCTAAAAAAAACTGAAATTACTACCAGGGATTAATTAAAAAAAAAGGTGTTTTGAAGTTTTGTTATACACCGTAGATCCTTAATAACCACCCTGGGGAATTATTGTTTTGACCTTCTGTTGGAGGGAGTAATAATTCGAGGGAGGGCAATTAATACAGTGTATACGGTAATGCCTCACTGGGATAGCAATTTTTTCTCTCTAAGTCATGCATGACACTCATTCCTTCATTATTATTAGCCTTATTTTTTTTCAAATGATTATTTTTACTTCTCTCTTCTATCAAGCACTCTCAAAATTTTATTTTAATGATTTTATTTTAATTTTAATTTAATCATTTTTGATGATCATATATAAGGGAGGGAGAACTTTAGAAAATTTTTAATGCCCCGCGGGGTCCTTTTACTTGTCCATTGAAATCAAATTCATTTATAATCCTAACATAAAGAGATTTTACTCCTTCGTTGAAATATATTTTTTTTAAATATGTTCTCTTTCTCTCCAATTTTTAATGTCTTCTATTTGCTTTTCTTTTCAGGCGTCAAAACACATTTAATTTTTCTCTAAAAATTTTTTTTGTTGTAGGGGAAAACTCTTTAAAAACATTTTTTCAATTCAATTATTCACACAGCTATTATTACACCAGAGATGGGAGGAATTGAATATGTGAGAGTAGAGACCGGACCGGACGAGATCTCGAATCAAAAGCTGGAGTATTGAGATCGAGGTTTCTCGAGAACCATGATTCCCGTAGATCAAAAATCTAATTTTCTCTCTCCCTTTTTGAGAACTTTCGAGATTCGAGACTTTTTGAGATATCTTGTACGATCCTCGAACAACACTCACAGTCCGGTCTCTATCAAAAAAAAAAACAAATAAATCGAATGCTTTGAACTATAATGTAAACCTTCATTTTGGTTAAATCGAAAATCTTCTAATTTGAAGCATTCGGTTTAAATTCGACCTTTAATCCGATTGCTCCTATCTCTATTTTTGCTGAATGTATATATAAAACCTTTAACTGAACCGTTTCTCAATCTCAAAATATTAGTAAATGTTTCGTTACAGTCTCTAAAATACTTCTTTCGCCTCTTGATTTATGTAATGTAACATTCAAAAAAAACATTTTTCTGTCTATTTAGAAGCAAAAAGAAGGGGGATTTTGTAAAATATACATATAGGGGTTTATGCATACATAAATAAAAGAGGGACAAAAACATTTATAAGAGACCTTGAGACCTTAAAAAAAAGGCGTCTTTTAGTGGCAACTCAACAATACGTAAATGTCAAATGCTAATTCAGTTTGTCTATAAAATAAAGTATAGTTAGGATAGTTGCTTAAAATTAAAACAAAAAGAAGAACAATTCCCTAAAACAGCAACAGTTTTCACTAAATCTAGTTTTTTAAACGTTATAATAGATCCCCCGACATTTTTACTGTAATTACAAAATAAATGCAAAGAATTCATATTAATAGAAATTAGCAGGACTGAGCGTCATGGCGTTTTTGCGTTTGGCGTCAATTTTTGGGCGATTTTGGCGGTTGCGTTTGGAGTGCTTTAAAAATTTGAAAAATTGGCGTCTAGCGTTTGGCGTACCACCAGAAAATTTTGGCGCACAGCCCTGGAAATTAGTGAAAATAGTCTGGAGAGTTCAGATTACTGTGAGATCTTGAACTCTTAAATTTTTTCATAACCTCCTTTTGTTCAGAAAAAGAATATTCTTTATCTACTTCTCCCTTAAGATAATTTCTACAAGTATCTAAAGATTGTTTTATGCCACAACTATTTTCAGCCAAAATAATATACTAATGGTTTTATTTCTTCCCCTTATTTTTCTCATCATCCTAGAGTATATTGGCCTAATATAATAATTTTCTCCAACATTTTAAGAATATACGTATTGCGATTCTCTTTTCCTTTCCACTAAAAAAAGCTAAAGGTTGAATTTAGAGGTCTTGGAATAAATTTTGGATCTAAATTATTTATTTCAGATGCGAATTTCAATCAGTCCGATCTACTTTCTAAAAAAAAGAGAATTTTTTTTCTTTCTTCTTTCTTTCTTGAGATATTTATTATACATAATTCTCTCCTTCTTCCCTCTCAAAATGCAAAATTGTGTTTTGCTCCTCCTTTTAGATTTAATATTTAATAAAATGCAACATTACATTAACATTTTTTTTGGAAGGAAAAGTTTTGGAAAGGAGTTAAAAACACATTCTTTATGTCAGTTCATCATTGTGAATAAAAATATTTTTTAGACCTTCACAGTGTATTGCAATTTAAACTTAATTTTAATGACCTATAGAAGGTAGAATAAATACTTAAGAACAGTAAACACTTGTTTCTAATAGTTCTGGGTTGAAATAAAGAAATTATTTTTTTTGATAGTCTGAGACTATAGTAGAATTGACATCGAACGAAGTATCTGTTATTCATTACTTTATTCTACTTTTTTTTTATTCAAACCTGCGGGTTTTCCTAATGTAACTCAGGTAATATTAGTTAAGTTTAATTTACCTTTTTTCTTCTTAACAATGAACATAATGGTCAAACATTCTTCAGATTCTATCTCTTCTTTACCAATTTACTGAACACTCTTAATACTACTGGATATTAGGGATCGAGCTGGACCTGGACCAAGGCCTGAGTTTTTCCTGTACCCAGAGTCCAGGAACAGGTCCAGGCTTTTCAAAATCTTTTCTCTACTGGATATTCCTAAATCCGGCTTATAAATATATTCATGTATGTACCGTATTTTCTCAAATAATTCCCCTCCCTCGAATAATTCCCCATGCCACGGACGGGTTGAAAAATAATTCTCCAGGGGAATTAATCGAGAAAATACGGTATTTGCAATTTTTCTTTTCTTTACGGTATAGCAGGGATGGGATCGCTTCCGCTCTATATTACTGTTTCCTCGTCCGATTTCGTCTCTCTCCTGGCGTTCTGGCGTTTTCCTAAGATAATTATAATCACACCATTCTATTAATCGAAATTTTTTTCCCCTTCTCTTGATCGGAATTTAGTTCTTCACCATGCCCAAAGCTTTTATTAAATGCTGAGAAATTTTTTTTTACTAAAAAAAGAGAGAAAGGGAAAAGAAAATGTGTCAAGATTTATAAGCCATACTTCCCCTCACTGCGATAAACAATCAGCTAATATTCACCTTTCAATAAATTGGAAATTAAATAATTTTCTTTTGTTCTTTCTCTATTAAAATTCTCTTTTAACATTGTGATAAATTAAATTGGTTGAAGTATAATTATGGATTTCAATTTATTATGAATTTTAAAGAATTTTTGTTTCTAAATTTTCATAAATTCCTACAAAAAAAAAATTTTTTTTTGGATTTATTTAAGCAATAAATAGAGAAAATTTCTCAACTAAAACCAATTTTTCACAGCTCATTTTGTATAAATAAAAATTATTTAAAGTATAATTGTGGATGTTAATTTATTATGAATTCTAAAGTATTTTTAGCACTCTCCGCTTCTCCCTCACAAATACTGAGAAACTCTTTTACATTTTTGTGTTCCTTCTAATCTCAAAAATTAATTGTTAAATCTGGCAAATGGCTAAATCAAATATGTTCAATAATAAACTTAAATGTTCGTAGAGAGCAAAAGAAAATTAGTTGGATGACAATCAATATCAAAATTTCGAAAATAGCGCGCTATAACAAAGCTTATTTTAGGGATTTCGTTTCGATTTGGCCTCCAAGGGTGAATCTAAAGGATAATAAAGGAACGTAACAGTCAAAGAAATTTTAAGTTAAAAAAATGTAATAAATCAAATTCGGAAACAATTTTAAACAAATCTTTTGCTCTGTTGGAATTTCTTTGTTTTCTAAAATTCCTTTTTTTTCCTTCTCTACACTCTTTTGTTGTTGTTTTATGTTAAAACCAAACTTCAAAACACTTTTGAGTTATTAATTACATAAAAATATTTTTTAGAGAATTTAAAGAATTAAAAAAAACAAAGGACCAGAATTTAACCAGGGACACGCCCAAAACATCTATATTTAAATCTCCTTTTGGGTTTAAATTTAATTTTAAAAATTTATCAAACATTCAATTTAATAAACTCTCTCAATTTTTTATTTTTTTGCTAAAGAACATTTATTTTAAAATCACCGAGGTGACCACAAAATTTTTTTTTATTATTTTTTTCTCTTTCTCATGATACTTTCAATATATTTCTTCATTGTGTTAATACCCGTTGTGACGAGTTACCAAGATGATCAAAGCCTAATCAAGGCTAGATACCTGAAATCAGATATCACATCGGGTACCTTTCCCTCAATGGATTTTTGTACCGAGTACTGCCTCAATCAATGTAAACTGATACCCTTATTTGGCTCAAGGACACCAGAGTTCCAAATCCGATATTTCTGCAACAATATTAAAGAAACAAGGGAATCTCATAAGACCAAATACCTCACCTTGTCAATGCTTACACTCTCGGTAATAATAACGATCACTATAATTTTTGTCATGTGCTGCTATTGCAGCAGACCCCCTCGAGCCAGAAGAGTTAATGTAAGATCGGACTCACATGTAATCGAACTGCGTGAATTCTAAGGAATGATTCCTAACTTTTGTGTATATTTCTCGTATTAATGACCACCAACAATCCGCAAAATTAGTCTCAAATTTTCCTTTTCTAATAATATACCACTCGACCTACACTCCAGGGCTGGGTTTATTTCGCATTTTCGCGTTTCGCATCTTTCGCATTCTCGCATTCTTTGGCGCGAAAAGTTTCGCATTTCGCTTTTTATTTTTTCATTAAGCCTAGCCCTGCTACACTCTTTTTTATTTTAAATGTGCGAATTTACTCAATAATCTAAACTTCTCTTTTTAATTTCAGATGGTTAAAAAAAAATAAAGCTAATAAAAAACGCCCTAATATTTCTATTGAGCCCGAGCGTGGAGAAAGCCCCGAGGGGCTCGTTGAGAATTTAAACCCTGCGGGGTCCAATAATTTATCTGAGAGTGGAAATGAAGGTGGAAATGACGATACCCTGCGGGGTTCTAATAATTTGACTTCTTCTGAAAACCCTGCGGGGTCCATAAATATTAATGAGAGTATGGAGATTGAAGGCTCTTCGAGTGCAATTCGAAGCTCACCTCCTCGTTCAATAGTAATGAGTGATATTAGTGACAGTGACATCCTGGCAAACCCTGCGGGGTCCCCTGAGGTTGCTTCTAAGGAAGGTTCTGTAAATGTAATGAAAGAACTTGGGGTTGCTCTTGAAGAGATTGAGAAAGAAACCTCAACCTCCGAGGCCTTTGCCAATGTCGGTAATGACGCATGGCCTGATTTCCCCGAAGCAATGGATGAAATAGTTACCAAGGACAAGTTGGCCGTAGTATACTTTGTTGCACAGGGCCAAGGCGACTATGTAATTGCCTGTAGGAAGAGTGCTGATCGCCATACACGCTGGCCGTACTTCATGTACATTCCGGACAGTCTCGTGGATGGTCATCCGGACTTCCAAAGGAAATTAGAAGTAGGAGACTTAGTGTCGGTGTCCCGGTTCGCTTGGAGTGAAAAGTTTAGGGATTTAGCTGCCACAAGGGAAGAGGTAACCTCAACAAAGAAGTTTTGGCTCAATGAATCCACCCAGTTGCTACCGAGACAAGCCGATGCAGAAGAATTAGGGAACATAATCTATGACGATCAGGAGCGACAGATGGTCACTGGCGTCATCTATTACATAAGGTTCAGATCCCAACACGACCCTGAAACATTTCAGTACGCAGAGTTGGCTTGCTGCGGCATTGCCCACTCGGCGCGAATCAACAGACGTCACTTAAATGGGATTTCTGTCCAGGAACTTGTTCAAGGCATGTTGGTAAACGTGTCATGTATAAAAATCCCGCGGGATTCACTAATTTCTAGAACTTATGTTCTCCCTTCCAACACGCTGTTTCGAGCCGGCACTGAGACTTTGGCAGTCTTCCCTGAAATTTATGGAGCTGTTGGATTAGTAAACCCTCATCTATTGGAGTGGCCGAACACTAATATTAATGGCACACCAAAAGTTTTCCCTTGCTCTGCGGAGCTCTCACAAGATTATCTCAAATGCGCCGAGCACGTCGTCGGCTCCGCCCTTCAAATCGAGATGGAACGTGAGGTAGAGAAGATGATTGAAGCCCGCTTTGAAGGGAGGGCAAGAGAAATCACTGGAAGGAGGTGCCTGATATGTTTTAACCCCCGCCCAAAGGAAGAAATTTCTAAATACGCGGCGGCTTGGGAGCTGGAAGCAATTGTTAAAATCTCCAAAAATCTGGGTCAAAAAGGGCTCTGCTATGGTACCATCAGGCAAGTTGACGTTGTCAACTCGGAAAGAAACCTATTGGAACTCCATGTGGTCATTATTCTGAACAATATAGACCAAGGAAGGAAGAATAAGGAAATAGGAAAGGAATTGAATAAATTCCTGGAGGGAGGACTGGTAGTCATTCATCCAACACTTCCACTGGTGGTAGAAGATCGAGTCCGATGCTTCCGATGCAACTTCCCCTCCACCATGGCAGTTGAAAATTCCCCGAGGGGTCATATCATGGCAACACTACTAGGGCGTCCTATTGGGGAGGGGGTAAAAATGGTCATGGATGACGTGAATGATCAAGCTGATCAGGCTGGAGATGATGAAGAATTCCATCCAGTCATCCAAACCCTCAATGGTCGCCAAAGGGTAACAGCAAGACTGCTAATGACCGGGGGGCTTGTCCATCAACAAGCGCCCCCGGGAACTGGAAAAACCAAAGTCGCCGCGGCTATTGTCAAAGCTTGGCGTGACCTTCGGCCTGAGGGCCAAATAGCGGTCATGGCTTGCTCAAATATTCCTGTTGTGAAATTGGTACAAGAGACTGCTGAAACTTGTGGAGAGGAAGAGTTGGAGGATATGCAGTCTCTCGCATTATTTTCTGCGATGGCGAAAGAAAAATATAATGAGCAAATCAGGGATGTGGAGCGCCACACTCTTATCAATAAGATTAGTAATGAGGCATTCCGAAGCAAATTGCAGCAACCCCAAAAAAAAGAAGTGGATGAGTATAGGGAAAATTATCTTAACAACCCGCGGGTTTCACAAGAGAGAAAAATTGGAAGGCTTTATAAAAGCTTCGAGCGGCCGAACATCACCTTCTCTACAGCCTCAATGGCTACATTTTTCCTTGAGGGTGAGGGGAATATTGTCGACACTGAACTGCTACTTTTTGATGAAAGTACGCAAGCCCAGTGGGCAGTAGTGGTACATTTGGTGGCATGTCTTCCCAAACTTCGGGCGATCCTCCTGACGGGGGATCGCCACCAGCTCGGTGTGTATCTGGCTGAGCTCCCGGAGGTTTTCTGGCAGGGCTTCGGACTTGAAAGTGTCATCAAACAAGTGGAGATATCACCTGGCGCAAACTACACATTCCTGACAAAAATGTATAGAAGCCATCCATTCCTGGTCCAGCTCATTTCCTACGCTTCTTACGAATTGTTTGATGAAAGATTAATTCCGTCACGCAGTGAGGAAGAGCGTTCACTGTTGACCAGCTCGGAATTCCTTCTCCCTATCCAATCATGTCCTGTGGGACTCATTAATGCTTATAGTTCATTCCGAACGGACTCGAAAAGCGACTCCCTTACGGATGACCACCAAACGGAAGTTGCTGAATTCCTAGTTCAGGCACTTCTTCACCACTTTGGACCGCAGTTCAGCAAGAGCATTGTAGTGCTCTGTATGTATACTTACCAAACAACGCAGATTGCGAGCAGAGTGAGGGAGCTTGGAGTCAGAACGCTTACGGTGGACTCTTATCAGGCCCAAGAATGCGATGTGACCATCATTGTAACGACCAGGTCGAGATACGCTGAGCATGGCTCCGGGAAATCTGACAACATGCATTTCTTTAAAAATAATGAACGTGCCACTGTTGCACTTTCGAGAGCGCGCCATGCCATCTTCCTAATTGGGGATCTAGTTTCCATCTCTGAAGGACCCATATGGAAACGCTTCTTAGAGAAGGCCATCACGAGAACCAGGGTAGTGAAATCTGAATATGTGAGTGGTCTCTTGGATGGAACACTTGAAAGGTCATCAACTTCAGACGACTTGTATGACAAGAGTCTCAGAGGCACCGTAGAAGACAAAGGTTTCCTAGGTGAATGGGCCCTCAAGCATGGCTTAAGACCGGACAGGATGGACCTCCCTGCACCGCCGGAAGAGCCAACAAGACCGACCTTCAGATTCCAGCACTTCCCAGCTCTTAATGAGGCCGGACCCTCTGGTAGTGGAACCTCCGGGAATTCTCGTAGTCCTGCAAGGAGGGAAGATAGAGGAAGAGGGCGCAGGGGAGCTGATGGCCAATGGCTAAATTACGCTGGCAACCCTAAAAGGCAAAGAGGAAAGGGAAATAATTATTAAACGGATATATGTCCTGCGGGACTCACAAAAATTTCAAAAAAAAAAACTTGTAAATATTTAAATAAAAAAAAATATATACATAATATTATTAATTCATGGTTCAAAAATAAGTCCTGCGGGACTCTTTCATGTTAAAAAAAAATAGATGAAGATTTTGAAAAATTAAATCCTGAGGGAAGTAATTATGGAGCTGGTTAAACTCTAATGTGACAAATGAAATTAAAGGTTTGTGAATTTTAGAAAACCGAAAATGAATTTTTTACAAATAGCCAGAAAAGTTCCCAAAGTGAAACTGATATTTACCAAAATGAAACTGATATTACTGATATTTACCAGAGGCGGGTCGGAGTTCCGATTTCCGAAAATTTTTTTTAATTTTTATTTCCGACTTCTAAGTTCCGACCTATGAGCCAGTTCCGATTCCCGTTTTTCTAATTTCCGACACCTCTTACTGGTCCTACCCACCTCGGCTGGGTATCTCTAACATTAGAGGTAGTCAATTTGAAAAAAAAAAAAGAAAAAATTTTTTTTTTGTCTTCTTCTAGTCTATCAAAAGAGTTTCTGTACATACATTCTGGATTCTCTGAGCATCATTCAACTTTTTATTAGTTGCGGTGTATAAATTTTGTACATATTTTTGAATTATGGATTTAATTACAAATTTGGAAATTACTGACTCTTACAAATATACTTTCCGAAGAATATGTCAAAATATTACTAACTAAATTAAAGTAAGTAAAAAAAAAACTGATTATTTTTCCGTTCTTCAAAAAATTTTTTTAAATATTACCCGTGACTCCAAAACTCGCGAGTAAATAAAAAAAACATATGTACAAATAAAATTATAAGGTCGCTAGAGAACCCTCAGAAATCCTTTATTTTACTTTTAAGCCCTTTAAATCGTACAAAAATCCCTCGAACTTCTCCTCTACATTTTTGTTTTTTTTCCATTATTTCAATCCCTAGAAAAAAAAATTTTTTTTTTAAATTTTATTCTTTTTTCCTCACATTATTTTATCGCGATTTAGTAATTTTTTTTCCAGAACAAAGTATACTTTAAGCAAAGTTTTAAACTAAGAAAAAAAAAATTTTTTTTATATTTTTTTAAATTTCTTTTCCACACTTTACAACAATCACTTCTCACAAAAAAAGGATAATATATCCCTTCGAAAAATTGCTTTCTCACAAGAAAAGTTTTACAAAAGGCGGAAGTCAATATCACAATAAAAAATTTTTTTCCCACTCCTAAGATAAACAATCACAATGTAAAATTATAACAAACAAAGATTTTCCCAAGCTGAACATAAAAAAGTTTTTTAGTTTATGAGAAAAGGTGGAGCGTTAAATCAAATATAAAGACTAAATTAATAGCAAATTCAATCATTTATTTTAACTATAGGCTTCATCTTCTCCTTTCTTTCCCTATCCCCGGTTTATCTCTACAAACATTTATTTTCTTTTAACTATACTATTTAAAAATTATTATTTATTTTTAAATTATTTTATTTAAAAAAAAATTTTTTTTTTTTGTTCTCTTTAATTATTTTTATTTTGCCTCGTCTCCTTTTCTTCACATCTACAACATTTTAAATAATTATCATTTATCTTTTGATTTTTTAATTTGAAATCCTCTTTTATTTTTAAAATTTAACCTATAATTCCTTAGTCTAACTCTTCATTTTCTAAAACTTTAATGAATATTTTCGAAATTTTTTTTTACTCATCAAATAATTTTTATCATCCAATAATTATTTATTTATTTTTAGCTAAAAAAAAAATTTTTTTTTTCATTTCTATTGCCTTATAATCTAAATCTCGAGTGATTCAAAATGCCTTTACTTCCCGATGAGGAGGGATCCACAAATTCCTCCAGGGACAACAACACTATTATAACTCCTGAGGGAGCCATTAACGATATTGGTGACTTGAGTCTCACTGTAGTGGACAGAAAATTGTTTAATGAGAAAATTTTAAGCACAACGGCCCGTCTTTCTGATGTGGATAATGTCCACAAGAATTTAATCAGAACCGAGGATGGAGTTAATCGACTCTCTCGCGTTCTCAATAGGCGAATAAATCAAAATTCACGCGATATAAAAACATTAACTGACGAAACTAGCGAATTATCTGCACGCATAAACACTCTAAACCTTGAGCAAAACGTCAATAATAACTCAATTGTGGGTGAAACTCCACTCGCAAATCGTGTAGCTCAGCCCGCACTAAATACAATACCCAATCGCCCAAATCGCGAAAATAGGACAGAAGAAGCTGCACCACTTGAAATAAATCCTGAGGGATTCCACAAAATTAACATGCTCTCAGCCGAAAATTTCCCGTCATTTACTATCTTTTCAGGAAGCTCAGTTCTTGATTTTGAACGTTGGGCAAGGAAATTTAATGACCTAATTGACTGCAATGGTGGGAAGTGGGATGAAAAAGAAAAGATCGCACGCTTAAAAGCCTGTCTAGATGGGAAACCTCGAAGAATCTTTGAAAAGATATCTGAGGCTAATAAGACCACTCTTGCGGGAGCCATTAAGAAAATACATGAAAGTTTAGACACAACGCAAAATCGCGAATTGACCTATAAGGCCTTAAGCGTCTGTAGACAAAAAGAAGGAGAATCTGTAGATGAATTCTCCGCTCGATTAATACCATTGGTAGAAGCAAGTACAGTTGACCAAACTGGTAAGGCATCGGAAGAAATTCTTTGTAGGCTTTTCCTAGAGAAATTAACTCCGAACCTCCAATTTCTCACGAGGACCTTAACAGGGCCAAATAGGAAAGACTTCGATACTTTACAATTAAACGCACATGAGGCAGAAATAATGCTAAGTGTGAATCCGAAACCCAGCTTTTATCCAATCTGTCAAGTCGAAGACAATACGGTACCACAATTTCAATACAAGAGCCCTCCAAATTACCCAAATGGGAACTTTAAGACTTGGGCGCCAACCAATCCAAACAGACAACCCCTCGGTCGTCCCAACAGATTTCAAAATAGTGGAAATCGTAGCTGGATCCGGACAACAGTACAGTAACCGACCGAGAAATCCACGCAACACAAACTGGAATAGAGGTCCACAGCAAGACAAGCGGTGGAACAATCGTCCAGTCTGCAACTATTGCAAAAAGGTAGGGCACTTGGCTTTTAACTGCTTCAAGAGACGCAGTGATTTTACCCAACCAAGAAACTCGATAAGAGTATTAGAAGACCAAAATAGGATATTGCAGGGTCAAATAAATCAGATCGCTAACTCAGTCCAGAAGTTGGCGTTCAAACAAACTGCTGAGGCAGACACACGAAAAATTAATTCCATACAAAAAATTGATATACCATCAGCTGCGGCTGCCTCTAAACTTAATTCAACTGAGAAAAATGTACAAAACAAAATCTCGAGTTGGGAACCCAAAATAGGACCAAAGTTTCTTCCTATATTCACATTACTTGCCTTAAGTATGTTTGCACCCACAATAAATTGCAAAGAATTTATTCCGGTTCCTTCAGCTCCCATGATTTGTCAAACTCATTTACAGCCAATGATTTGGTCGCTTCCTAAATTTTCGGGATGCCCAAAAATAGATCTAGACACAAGCAAAGCACCTACGAAACAGAAGCGAATCATTTATGTCTCAAACCCATTAGAGTATTCAACCAAAGCCTGGGCGTGTAGAAAAGTGAATAAAATTGTACAAAAATACACGAGTTTAACGGGGGTCCCGGTAACCCAAAATCTAAATTCGGAGATTATTGCAATAAGGCCTGAAGAATGCCGACAAATGGCATACAATAAAAGATGCGATTTGGGGAACCTCCAAAATGAAACAGGGTTATGGCACACTAATAGGAAAATAGACTTAACTCCACGGCCATGGCTCTTAGGTTCCTTTTCTTGGAAAAAAGAACAAATTGAAAATTGTTATGCGTATGAAACCGAGGTGTACTCACACTTCGGGGCGAAAACAATTATAACTCCTGCGGGAGCCACTCATGATTGTCACTATAGCAAAGGTTTCTGTACTCTAAATGACAACACAGTTGTTGTTTGGGAACCTGAATCAAATAAAATGTGCAGATACAAAATGATAGGAGCAATGCTAGGACATAACTTAGGAAATATTTGGGTCTCCAATTTAGGCGAAATTGGACTGAGCTCTCACTTGGAAAGAAAGGTATATGACTGCGGGAAAAATCTTACGGTCTCGGACCAGGGACCGGCATACGTGATTACTTTTGAGAAAAGAAATAAAAGGGACCTATTTAATGTAATATATGAAGGAGCTGTCAGTTCCTCTCAGCTCGCGGCTCAACTCACATATCTTCAAGCAAACCTCACTAATTCAGTAAATACTGCCTTTGCCCAAGCGTTCCACACATTTTGTGATTTCCTTAAGGACACTCAAAGGTGGATAGAAGCCTCCTACCTAAGTAACCCAACAAACCTTGCGAGGTTCATTCACCAGAACAATTTTATAATAGCAAAGAAAGCTGGGGTTTCACTTTTAAAGACTTGGCCATGCGTGTCACTCTGAATACCAATTTCATCCAACGCGTATAAATAACACATGTTTCGAATTTTTACCAATAATAATAAACACAAATAATAGGGAGCAATTGGCTTTTCTTGACCCATCCACTTTAACAATTTCCTTACACTCTAAATTAGCACCTTGCGAGGAATATCAAAAAATTCTTATACAAACCTCTGAAAATATCTTTGAGGTGGACCAACTTAAAGGGGGGATACAAAGTGTTCACATTAATAAATTAAATGAAGCAGAGCTTGATTTAGGAATGAAATCATTTATTCCAAAACTAGCTCCTCATGCATTTCATCACTTGGTTCTTTTAAATTTAACTGACTTAGCAACTCATGCCTTTGCAACAAACTTAGTGCAAATAAGTCAATTGACCTACAAAATAGACAAAAATGAGGCATCTGAAACAAAAACCACATTATCTGATGAATGGTCTGCAATAGAAAATGCAATTATTGAAAAGGCTGTTGGAAATTATTCGACTCTCTGGCGAAATGCGGTAACAATATGTCTAATCATTTGCCTTGGGGACCTAGTAGCTCGACTAATATTTGCTTACATGGGAGTAAGACTTCAAGGACCCATAATGGCTATAGGCAGGCCCATAATCAACGGCATAACCAAACGTTTTGGGTCCAAAAGGACACGATCACCAAATAAAACAGGGAGCACAACTGAGCTCCAAGACCTAACTAAAACGGAATCAAGTAGTCCTGAACAAAGTACATCCTGTGGGATTAGAGAAAGATTGATTGACGAGCTTACTCAATCTTTTTCTAATCAAGAATCTGAAATAAACTCTGAGGAGTCCACGAAAATTCAAATAATTAAAGGGAATGAATTTCTAGACTGGCTTAATGAATTTCTCTCAAACCCGATAAGCAAAAAGCCGTCTTATAAATTGCCTCAAAACTCCGGGGATTTAACACACTTTTTAGATAAAGCCACACATTTTGGAAAAGAAATCCCAAATTTCAATACGATCATAGACCCAATTAACAAAACATCTGGGGACGAAACCATCAAGTGGAATAAGGAACAAATTTCCATTTATAAAGCCATTTTGAATCAAATGAACGTACTAGCTCGAGGTAATGCCAACTCCCCAACCCATAGGCAACTGAGAAAGACTATCTCCTCTACGGTGCTTACTATTGCGGTTATTCTCATTCTAGTTCCAAATGCAGCTGCGGCGCCAATCAAAACTTATCCAATTCAAACTTCTCAGGACTCACTCTTAGTCTCAGTATTTGTAGTCTCTATAATAATTGCATTAGTTATCCATTTTACAACCTTATTTTATACACAATCTAAACCCACTACACCGATCACGGCAATAATAAAAATAGAAATAAATGACATATCTGTAAAAGCACTTGCCGACACAGGAGCCACAATATCGATTGCTCCCATTTCTCTATCTCACAAATTAAATACTAACCCACGAACATCCAACATTGAAGCACTAAGTGTTTCAGCTCATGTTATGAAAATACTAGCAACAGCCACAGTTTATTTCAAAATCGGGAAAATCACCCTGAGGGGTCCACTTCATTTTGTATCGGATGACCAAGCAAAAGCTCTTAATGGGTACCAAGTAATTTTGGGGAGCGATATTTTTGCTAGAATCCCACCAATAACCTTTGATTTTCACAATGAGATACTTAAAGTCGGAAATGACTCACTTCCCATGGAAACTAGTAATAAGCAACAATACAACCTGAAAGTCCGGTCTCTAGAAAATTATAAAATATTACCGGGGACACAAAAAATAATAAGAGCTAAAATCGATAATGCTCAAAATTCGGAAAAGGAGGTATTAATAGAAACTCTGGATTCCCGACTTGAGGAACAAAACCTCTGTACCATTCCTACAGTATCGAAACCTAACAACAATGAAATAAATCTGATCATTTGTAATCCCACAAACATGTTGATAACTTTAACACAACGCACATGCTTAGCAAGTGCAGACGAAATACGAACTACAGAACATCCTGAAATATTTCTGGAAGGTTCGCCCAACGAAATTAATGTCCTGCGGGACTCACTAAAGAATTCTAGAGTCGAAATAGATCCCACATTTAAAATTGATTTTGCCAAATCCTCAGTATCAGGGGAAAATCTCAATAAATTGAAAAGTCTTTGCGAAGAATTTAATGATATATTCAGTAAAAGTCAGTACGACTTAGGGTCCTGTACAGCAGGTGAACATGACATAATTACAAATTCTGAAACACCTGTATCTTCAAGACCACACAAAACACCATTCAAGTACCACGATGAGCTCCAAAAGCATATTGATCAACTCCTTGCCTCAGGTGTCATGATCGAGTCTGACACACCGTGGGTCTCAAACATTGTACTAGTCCAGAAAAAGGATGGAGGACTACGCCCTTGCATCGACTTCAGGAAGCTCAATGAGGTAACAATACCCGATCACTATCCCCTCCCTAGGTTGGAAGCCATAATGGATCGAATTGGAAATTGTCACTATTATTCGAGTCTAGACCTGTCTAGTGGGTATTTACAAATTAGACTAACTGAAAATGCATCCAGGAAGTGTGGACTTATAACTGAAGATAAAATTTACCAAATGATAAACCTTCCTTTTGGATTAAGAAATGCCACAAGCGCTTTTGCTCGTTGCATGGCCCATGTCCTAAGTGGTTTAGATAATTGTGTAGTAGCTTATGTGGATGACATAGTAGTCTTCACTAAGCCCGATGATTTTGAGACACACTTGAGTTCACTAAAAAGCGTATTCGAACGCTTTCGTAGGTTTAATCTTAAATTAAGCCCCAAAAAATGTATATTCGCTGCGGCGACCATGAACTTTCTTGGCTATATAGTCAACTCAAATGGATACACCCCAAGTCTAGGAAAAGTGGAAGTAATCAAAAATCTTCCAAACCCAAAAACAGTAAGGGAAGTCAAACATGTAGTAGGAATGGCATCCTTTTTTCGTAAACACATTCCTAACTTTTCAACAATTGTAGAACCACTAACTAGGCTTACAAAAAAGGAAAAGAATTTTGAGTGGGGTGAGGAGCAAAACAATGCTTTTAATAAAATTAAGGAAATTTTAACTCAAGAACCGGTTCTAATTTTTCCCGACTATGAAAAACCGTTTCACATCTTTACAGATGCCTCAACTGTTGGACAAGGTGGTGCTTTAATGCAAAAGAACGAAGAAAATAAAACATTTGACGCAATTGCCTATTGCAGTCGAACACTATCTATGTCTGAACGTAGATGGCCAGCAGTTCAAGCAGAGCTTGGAGCAATTATTTTTGCTCTTAGAACTTTCAAACCTTACATTTTCATGGCAGAAATTGAACTTCATTGTGACCACAAACCTCTGGCATTCCTTTTGAAGAAGTCAGACGCACATCCCAATCTAGCTAGATGGTTAATCGAGCTGCAGAATTACAACATAAAAATAATTCATGTAGCTGGTAAACAAAATCTGTTAGCAGATGGACTCTCACGATTCCCACAAGAAAATATTCCTGAGACGGCAATTAAAGATCTGAGTGAACTTCAGGACATAGCAAACTTTCCTGTATGTTTATCTTTAAGCCTTAAACCACGAGTGGTTCACGAACAATTTATTTTAAATCTCACTGCGCGTGATATAGAAGGCAAAATGTTCTCAATTGATATTCGTAGGGAGCAAGGTCAAGACCCCGAAACAAAATTGTTAATCGAATTCCTCGAGTTCGGAACATTTCCTGCGGGAATCACTGAAAATGATAAAGAAGAAATAACATCAAAATCCGAAAACATGTCTATGATTTCGGGTATACTCCACCAACAAATGCAAGGCCAAGTCCCAAGAATATATATACCTATGTCCCTAAGGCCATTAATATTTGAAGCCTTCCACACCTCAGTACTTTCCGGGGGGCACATGAATCTCAAAAAGACACTTAATAAATGTAGGAAATTTTATTGGCCAATGATGCATAGAGACATTGCTAACTGGACGAAGTTGTGTATTACATGCCAGCTTAGGCACTCACCTAACCCTGCTTACCGTGCTGAAATGCAAATGCCACCCAAAAATACTTTGTTTGCCCAAATTGCTTTAGACCTTGCAGGCCCTCTACCTCTCACACAAAAAGGAAATAAGCACCTTCTAAATATAATATGTACTTTCACTAAGTATATTATTTCTGTTCCCCTTCCTGATGCAAAAGCTAAAACCATTGCGATGGCCTTTTTCAAAAATTGTTACCTCAAATTTGGAGGATGCACAAATCTTTTAACTGACAATGCGACAGCATTCACTTCGGACTTTTTCAAGTCATTTTGCTCTCTCTTATATATTAATAAATGCTACGCCACTCCCCATTGGAGCCAAGGTAACCCAGTAGTGGAGAGATCCTTCAGAACGTTTCACAATATTCTGTCAAAATATCTTTCCAAGGACGAACCTGACTTTGATGAATATATTGAGTGCGCGACTTTTTGCTATAACACATCCACTCATGCTTCAACCAATGAGACACCCTTCTTTCTTATGTATGGGCGGGACCCGATATTTTGCATAGAGCAAATACTCGACCCCAAGACAGATTTAGAAACTCCCATTGAAGTGAATGAATTTAAACAAAAATTAGTTAATGTTTTAGGTAGGGCATGGGAATCTGCTGCGGCAGTCATTCAAGAAACACAATTAAGAGCGAAAACACAATACGACAAATTAGTCCGTAACCCAACCATTCTAGTGGGGGATAGGGTACTCCTTCGCAATTATACAGGGAAAGTAGGAACATCTAAGAAGTTCCACATGCCCTGGAAGGGATTATTCCGTGTAACTAAAATAGATGGAGTCCTAGTAACGATTTTAAGTTGCACCTCGCCTCAATCGAACCCTCGTGTAGTACATATAAACCAAATAAAGAAATATTATGAGGAATCTGGTCCACCAAATACGCAAAATTCTTTACCACAATCGGAAAAAGAAGTTTTAGATAACAGTCAGGCACAAGAACAAGCTAATGTTCCCGGTTATTCACACTCAAATCGAACCCAAACACAAACATCTGATAAACAAGCCTCTATATCACTACCCACTAAAGATCTTAACAAAACACAGGACCCAGGAACTGAACCTGAAACAAATAATACTCCTCAAATACTTGAAAGGCAGGGAAAATCAAAGTATGGTCTTAGAAATAAGCCAAGAAGAAAAAACTTCTCTGACTAGGTACCTCAATATATAGCTTATCTTATAATCTTTCAATTCTCTCACATCTTTCTGTACTATCTCCACTCTCTTAATCTTTTTTCAAACTTTAGCTGTTGCCTCATAATTAATGATCTCTAAAAAAATTTTTTTTTCTTTTTCGTTGTTTTCCTCTTCAATGTTTTTCTAATTTTCAAATTTTTTTTTTTAATTTTCAGAAATCAAAAATTTTATTTTAATTTGACTAATTAATTAAAAAAAAAATGCAACAACAACCAAATCAACAACAAAATTCTTTACACCCTGCGGGGTTCACTAAATTGAACAATTTTAATTTGGGGGAAATGCGCATCCACAAATTAAATTCTGGGAAACATCTAATTGCATTTCTTGGCCCAACAGACCCATTCTCCAACTTCTTTTATTCTGAAATTGAGATGTCTGGAGAAAAATTTTCATGTGTTGAAATGGCCTTTGTAGTAAAACGACTCAGATTATTAGAACTCCACTCAATGGCAGCGGAGGCCATGACATTCGTACACATGCACACACCTAATCAAACTAACAACAAATGGGGCGACGGCCATCCCAGAGAACTGAAGTGGTATGGAGCCGAAGGCCTTACTAAAGCAACACCTTACAACAGGAGCAAAGTAACAACAAAAATGGAAAAAGACCTAATAGAAGCAATTGTGGAGCAGAAATTTAGGCAGAATGAATATCTTAAGAAGCTCCTAAAAGCAACAGATGGACTTTATATTGTAGAGGCCTCGCCGGATAAACGGTGGGGCATTGGATATAAGAAACATGAACAACAACAGTTGAAGGATTATACACCCGAAAATAAAAAATATGGACAGAATTGGATGGGGGAAATACTTACTAAATTAAGAGAAAAATTGATTAAAGAAGAACAACAAACCAGTGAGTAAATTTTTTTTTGTATCATAAAACCCTGCGGGGTTCATCTAAATTAAAAAAAAAAATAATAAATACAATTAAATAAAAATAAATAAAAATAAATTTTATTAATTAAAAAAAATTTTTTTTTTTCAAAAATGTTTTTTCTTACTCCTTTTTTTCACAAAAAGCTTAATAACCTGCGGGTTTCAAAAAAAATTTTTTCAATAAAATCTCAAGTCTAAATTAGTTAAAAAAATCAAATTTAGGAAAAGCAAAATATTTGGTGGCACAGATCCAAACCAGAGGAATCGTTGGAGCAGCGATGGAACCTCATCATTACCCGTATTTTGTATTAATCCCTAATGATCATTTAGAACATGTAATTAACATTGGGGATATATTTACAATAAAGGATTTACATTTGGATTGTAGATTTAAAAATTTAACGGACTGCGGTCCTAACAATTCATGGATCATCAAAAACTCTTCAAATCTTTTATCAGTGCAAGGGTCTGCACAAATTCACCATATACTCTATCGAGCAAAGGAAAAAGAGGCCGAAGGGAGAATCAATAAAATTGGAAATAGATCAAGCAAGACAAAAAAAATACACAGTTTATGGGCCAGTTCTAAAAACTCAAGCAACGAAGCACACATTATCAGACATCAAACAAATTTCGAATTTGAAAACATTGAAGCTGGCCAAAAAATACTAACTACGATTAGAAGTGTTAAAATTCCAAATGGAGTAAAAGTCAACACTCACTTCATCTTGCCTGGGAACTCAAAATTTGGCACCAAGGACATGAAATTTTACAAAAGAAAAGCACACATAATTACAAATCTAAATCTAAATTTATAAATCCTGCGGGATTCTCTTATGTTACATTTTTTTAAATAAATAAAACTTAAAAAAAAAGATTATATGCTTAGGGATTCATTTAATATAAAATTTAAATATAAAAGAGGACCAGGGACGGTCCATTGGAGGGTTAGAGGCGTTGGAGGGTAAATTCGCCCAAAAACAGATTTTCAAAGACCCAAAATTTTGTGAACAAAATTAGACTAATCAGTAAAAAAGACGACCAGGGACGGTCTATTGGAGGGTTAGAGGTGTAAGGCCAAGTCCATCCTAAAATCACGTGAACAATAATGGCGCTCTGAACTTTGCGCTAAATAACGGAAGTTCCCAGAGCGATCCAAAGTATAGCACAAACGGCCATTCTCAGAGAGCAAATAGGCTCACTTATCTGATCGCATTAGCCATATTCACTCAGCCTTAAGGCGGTTCTAGGAATAAATGTACAAACAATAAAAGCTTTAAGAGAATAAGGAAAAAGGGTTCAGTCGACTAATCTTCTCTTCAATTATTGTGCAGCATTATTCCACCGGCCGGTGAAGGAAGTATTAAATAACAGCTAGCCTAGTGTCGATCCGGAGGGAAGACGTCTCCCAATCCGGAACTCCCCTGTATCCAGCGCTTGCCTATATTCTATACTCTGCGGAGTTCACACAAGGACGCTTGCGAGACTCCAATCCAACAACCCCACTTAGAAGGCACTGGGAAACGGGACCAACCGCTTTACTTTATTATCAATTACCTATTGTAAGGTTTGAAAATCTGAAAGATATTCGGCTTTATTTGCCTATTATTTTTGCTGAAAGTATGCGAGGTATTGAAGAAATTAAAATTAATATTTTAAATTAAAAATCTCTAAAAAATATTTTTTATTATCCTTATCGAATATTCCAGCTAATCGAATAACAAAGAAATATTCTAAATTAATCAAAAAAGAACTTTCTGGTATGCATTTGAACGAGATGTCAAAGATTATTTTTCTTTTTCCATAATTGATTCGCTAAAAATAATTTTTTGGTAAATTTTATTTATCTAAAATATAGAAACCCTCGGCTTTAAAAATTTTTCTGAAACCTTTTTTTTTTGCAAAAACTCAAAAGCGAAATAAACTACAAAAAAATTTTTTGCAATTGAAAAAGTTGCCAAATAAAAAGCCAAATCCCCCTGCCAAATTAACTCATCATTTTTAATAAAAAATAAAATGAATTTATTTAAAATTAAAATATTCTCAATTTTAATATTCTTTTGCTTTAATTTAATTTTGGGGCAAATAATAAATAAAAAGGTAATATTCAATTTCGTTCCCCCCCTTTTTTCCATCCTCAAAGTATTAAAAAATGGTCAGTCTGACTTAAGTTATAGAACTCGTCGAGCTGAGTCGAATGACACCAAAATCAAAAAAATCCGACTTGATTTGACCGAAATACAGACCCCTAAAAATTGAACAACTATAGGGGTGATTTTTTAGAATTAAAATTTTTATGCAAATGATAGCTCATTCGAAAGAGCTCGTCGAGCTGAGTCGAATGACACCAAATAAGCGCGATTGGACAAGATTTGACAAAGTTATGACATAAGTCGTCGACTCCGTTAGGTCTACACTTAATGTCATAACTTTGTCAAACCATGTCCAATCACGTCGTTTTTGGTGTCATTCGACTCAGCTCGACGAGCTCTTTCGAATGAGCTATCATTTGCATAAAAATTTTTATTCTAAAAAATCACCCCTATAGTTGTTCAATTTTCAGGGGTCTGTATTTCGGTCAAATCAAGTCGGATTTTTTTGATTTTAGTTTCATCCAATTCAGCTCGACGAGTTCTATAACTTAAGTCAGACTGACCATTTTTTAATACGTTGAGGATCTAAAAAAGGAGGGGGGGGGAACGAAATTGAATATTACCAATAAAAATGGGAAAGACGACGAAATTACTCAAAGATTTCCTAAACAAAATTTTAATATTAATTTTAAACATTATTCGGGTATTTTAAATTAATAGGGGAGGGGGGGGGGGAATTGAATAGGCAGCCTCCCGCCGCGATTAATTCACTTTTCACCCAAGTTTCAAGAAAAGTACAGAGTGCGGCAATTTTCTGCCCCTTTTAGCCGCAATCTTAAATAGGGGTGTCCTAGTATTGGGTTTATCCTATAGAGAAGTCTGACTGTTTTAATTAATTATTTTAAAGGTTATCTTCAAGTCTCAAAAACTAAATTCCTCCATTATGTTTTCACAAAATCACAAAATAACCCTGATAAGGATCCTTTGGTAAATTTTATTTTATAAATTATTGTAAGCTCTACATCAATGCTGGGTATTTGGCATTTGTTGGCTTCGGCTCCGAGCTCCGTACTTTTAAAATCTTAGCTTCGGCTTCGGGCTCCAGGGTTTTAAAATCTTGGCTCCGGCCTCGTCTCCTGGCTCCGTGTTTTTAAAATTTAGCTCCGGCTCCGGAGCCTACGATTTTCGGAGCAGCTCTATGTTGACTCCGGGTGGAAAATCAATGAAAATATTATTTAGGTGGGTTTGGAGGATATTATATGACTTTCGGGGATCAGGAGGCTAAGATCAATTAATTTGAAAAATTTATCCACAAATTCCGTGTTATTTTTTTTAATTCCTCCAACGGCCCATTATCCCTTATCTGATTTTATATTTCCAAAAGTAAAATTTTCAAATTTTTTAAATTTTATTCAAATTTAAAAAAGGTCTTATGGTTAAATGGTGGCCCTGGTTGTTCTTCACTTCTTGGTCTATTTACCGAATTAGGGCCCTATTTACTTTCAGAAGATGGTTCTAAATTAATTAAAAATCCGAATTCTTGGAATAACAAAGCTAATGTTTTGTTTCTTGAATCCCCTGCGGGGGTTGGATATTCTTATTCAACTGATGGAAATCTTACTACTAATGATGATGAAGTAAATAAATGAATATTTTTAGAATATGAACTAGGAATGGGCCTTCCGTTTAGATTCCTGAAACCAAGAAGGATCCTTGATATGACAACTCACTTTTAGTTAACACATTATTAGATACACAGGTATCTAAAAAACTTCTGCCGAGCAACTCGGTGCCGTACACAGCACTAAGAGCAAAGGGATTAAAGAATATTTTCATTCTGATACAAGGATGATTCATCTAGAAGTATGTATCTAGATGCAGGATATTCTCCGACATCTTTTCAGTTGGCTAAGTATGGTGTTCTTGCTAATAAGTGATCAGGGCTTATTCATTATATTTTAAACCCGTGTCTAATAATCATTTTAAATGCTAGCCAGCTTGATCTCTATTCTTAATAATTCTTTTTAAAGACAGCAAATTACAACTATGAGGCTTTAAAACAATTTTTCAACAAATTTCCGGACTTTAAAGGACGCCCAACAATTATAAGTGGTGAATCCTATGCTGGTGTCTATTTGCCAATGTTGGCTAATGTTATTATTAATGGACAAAAAAATTATCCTATAAATTTGAAAGTAAAAATGAGGATTGTTTAATTTTTAATATTTAATTCAAAAAAGGGAGTGTTAATTGGAAACGGATATTTAAGTCGAACTTTAAATATAAATACAATGCTGATTTATGCTCGCGGTCATGCCTTTGTAGATGAAGGATTATGGCAGTCTTATAGTAAAGAATGTTGTAATGGATGTATTGGTATGCACATTTATTTTTTAATTTAGTGAGGGTGAAGGCGTGGGTCCGAGGTTCCGATGAAACTAGGATGGATAGATGACAAAGGGGATTTGGAGTTGAACGGGTAATTGATAAAGCGTTCCTCAGTATGGCCAATTCTGGGATTCGCTGTCGTTCTGAAATAGCACGGAAATATTATTATGGTTGAAGAAATATTATTATATTTGAAATATTATTATGGTTGACAAAGCATGGACATCCGCGGCGTGAACTGATTATGGATTATTCAATCTCTAGCCTTCCAATCTACTAATTTCCACAATCCTCCAATATTCTCTCCAAATCCAAATTTTCCCTTAAATCCACTGATATTTGGTGATTAATAGGGATATCGAGCTAATTTGAGGTTAATCCTCCGATATCCATAAAAGCCACTTTTCTCGTTTTTAAGCGCCGCAGGAAAAAAATTCAGAATTTATCTAAGGCCAAGAAGCCAAATTTCTTCATTTTAATTTCGAGAAGTTTGGAAGGCTTTCGTGCGAAAACCCCGGGATAATCCCGCCCGATCCCGACCGGGATCCCGATCCCGCTGAGCTCTACCTTCCTCAAAATTTAAAAATTAAAAAATATTTTTACTAAAAATTGAACAAATATTTAGATACTTGTGACATTTGGGCATATGTTATTAACAGAAATACAACCTGTTATAATCATGTTTGTTTATAATTAATGAGAAAAAATATTTTTATATTCAGACTGTTGCAATTTTTGATCAATTTTCTGATTGTATATCCAATGGTTATGATATTTATCTTAACTGTGGTGAATAAATTTTGTTTATTTTTAAAAGATTAAACAAAATTTACAGGTATGTCAACAAAATCATCACAATCCTTAGCAAAAAATAAATTGCTTAGATTGTTCTCTCGAACACCTTTTATGTTAAAAACATTGGGGAGTCTTTTACTTGAAGTATGTTTTATTGGGTTCTGTAGCAAGGATAAATCGGGTTGAGAGCAGTGCTTCGAAATTTCGATTTTGCTCGTACTCATACTTTGTACCACTTTTTTGGCCTCGTACTTACCAGGCATTAGTACGAGTACGAATTTTGGTACGAGCTTCGAAGCACTGGTTAAGAGTCGGGTTCAGGGGTTGTAATAATAATTACCGAGGATTATTTAGCATATTATTTAGCATATACGGCAAGTGTGGTGTGGACGGGCCGGCTTGATAAAAAAAGTCTGGATTTCGAGTATATCTAATTATTCACTGAGAGGTTGATAAAATCTCTCAACACCAGGGGTCAAATGATTTGGTGCGGCCATCCAATAACTCGGACCTATGTTATTTCAGTTATCAAGAATATGAAAAATTAAATCTAGTCTAGGGCTATACAGAAGTTTAACACCTCTGGAAGTTTAACAATCAACTAAAAAATATGGAAGAGCAGAAATGCCAATTAACTGACAAAATTATTGCCAGAGATAAAAATAGCGTATTTACTCGATCAATTCCCCTGAGGAATTAATATTTCAATTTATCCGTGGGACGGGGAATTATTCGAGTGTGGAGAATTAATCAAGTAAATACGGAATTCATTATATATTTTAATTCAGGAAAATAAATTCGAAAATTTAAAAACTCAATCGGAAGATGAGAGGTATGACCCAGCAATAATTCCTTGTGTTGATGGTATATTTAAATATAAAATTTTGTTTAATTTTTATAATTTAAAGCAAATATTTTAACTAATTATATTAATTTACCCAAAGGTTTTTTGTTAAATAATTTAATTAAAATAATTATAATTTATTAAAGTTCGAGAAACGTTAAATATTCCAAAAAGTTTAAATAATATTACTTGGTATGAATGTAATGATTTTAAATATGATGAACAATATGGTGAAAATAACTTTATTATTATCCTTTAAAAAGAATGGTTCCTTTAAATGGCCCGTTCAATAGAATACAGACAGAATTCCCGTTTGTAATGCCCCTTTGGAAAGGGATTAGAAAATAGAGTGCCAAGGTATACTGGAGGAAATAAGCTATACTAAAAATCCGGATATTTTTCGGATAACCACCATTAATCATCTAAAAAATAAAATTACAATTATAAATATTGCAAAATTCTAAAAATTCCAGATGATATGTTAAAATTTATGAAAAATATAATAAAAGCAAAGGTGCCAGTATTGGCGTATTATGGAGATACGGATATTGTTTGTAACTTTTTGTTAGGCGAAAGATTTGCTGATCAGCTTGGAATTAAAGTTTTTTTTGCATTTTAAATTATAAAAATATTCTTTTAGTTATTAAAACAAAAATATCCTTGGTTCTTTGAAAAACAAATTGGGGGTACTGTTACTGAATATTATGGATTTACTTTATTAACAGGTATCTTAAACAGGCGTATCACGAATAGGGGTGTCGCTTAATCAGTGGACAGGCTATGCTTTACATCGTAGCGTTCCCCATATATCAAACAGATTATACAAGTCGTTATGTAATGAATCAGAATATAAGATGGTGCAGAATTTCTAAAATCGGCGAAATTTGACATAAAAGGGAGAAATATTTATAGGGAACATCCATAATCTGGCATTATTTGGGATAAAGACATTTAGGATCTAATAAGAATAATTTATTTAATTTTTCAGTTAGAGGTGTTGGACACGTGGTAAGGAATTAATTTTCTTAATTAATTTGAGGAATAAATTAAATTTTTTTATTTTTAATATTTAGCTCCCGGAATGGGCACCTGAAAGGGGATTGTATATTTTAACTCAATTTTTAAACCTAACTTCTTTTTGATTTGAAAATGAAGATAAGGGAAAGATGAAGATTTAAAGGAAGAATTAAATGGGGATATCTATTGGGAATATTTATTTACTTCGAATTTTTAATGGAATGTTGAGAAAACAAGGGAAATTGAGGAAAATAAAATATAAAATTATTAATTTTATTAATTATTATTTTATTTTTATTTTTCAATTTTATTAAAACATTTTCATTAATTAATTTTCCCAAGCTTTACAAGTAGTATATACACCATTTTTATTCCCTTTTTTTCAGTAAATAAAAATGATGTATACTTTTAACTAATATTTAAAAATTAACACATATTCCCTTTTTTTGGAAATAAAAATTGTGTATTTTTCAAAGAAAAAATAATATACTACTGTATTTTTATTTTAGAAAATAAATCTTTAAAATAAAACTTTATTACAAATATATGAAATTAAAAGAATAAGAGATTAGTCGAAATATTTTTATTATTTTTTGTATTTTTTATTTTTATTATTTTTTTGTGTTTTTTATTTTGTACAAAATTTAGAACAAATTTTTTAAAAATTCTAATACACTTGAAAAGGGAGGATCTTTAATGAAGCAAACTGTTTCATTAACCGGTGCAGGAGTTGTTGCCGCACCAAACCTTACAATTTTATAAGATTTTTCATTTTTGTCCCAATAATAGTGATTACCATACCATTTTTTATCTTGAAAAGTTTTACGCTTAGGAAGACCTAGATCTTTGCAAAATAGAAACTCTCTATAGAAAGGTGTTGGGGCTGGAGTCCGACGAAATTCGGATACTTTAGCCTCCTCCACTTTCCATATTTTAAATTCAGCGTAGACATATCCAAAAAGTAAGATTAAAACAAATTTTGAAAACATTTTATTTTGCAAATAAATCAACAAATAAGGATACGTTTATATAGTTTCAGATTGTTCTATTTGTTCTACTACATCGATGCATTCAATTGGATAAAAATATTGATGTCTTCTTCCTCCTGCAACACAAATAAGTGGTAATTGAGGATATGCAAGATCAATTCGATGTCGCACATAAAAATATTGTCTTATTGTAACGCGCAAGTATCCACGTAGAGCAAATATCTGATCAGCCCCCATCTTTGTTAATTTGCACGGATAAATTTCCATTTGTTGATGTTTTAGATGATTTGTGATTAGAGCTTTCTTTCTAGGTTCCGTAAAATTTCGTTGACCAATACCAGATATTGCAACATCTTCATTAGTCAAGCTTGTAAGTGTTTGCAAGTAATTGACATTTTCATTATATTTTTTTCGTAATTCGCGATGAAGTGATTCTGGGGCACATCCTCCGTTGAAGCGGCAAAGTATTTGAATAAGAGGTGTTAATTGAACAGGTTGTGATGAAATTAAAGGTTCTGGCATTATGTCGCTAGTACGCATGGCAAACTAAGATGTGCTAAAAATAGTCACACTTATATACCAAGAGGTCCATTAGCAAACCGAATACTTGTCATTCCGTCATTTCTTTTCTTACGGATATTTGTATGCACTCTAAATAATACAGCCAAGACAAATAATAAACCCAAATCTAAAATATATGCAAATACAAGAAGAACATCCTTGTTTGTAGATATAGCAGGACCAATAGAAAGAACATGTCCACTGTCAATAACAAAGCAGGCATTTACATTTGGAGGAAAAGGCCCATGCACGGGAAAAAGAATATTACTGTCATTTGCCGATAATACTGTAGTTAATAAGGAAAATGATATTATTATTAAAAAGTTCATTTTATTATCTTAATGTAAATTACTCTTCATCTTATATACGAAAGATACTGAATGAAACGTCTTAAAAAAGCGTCACGGCCTTCGGGAGGGATTGAATGCAATTTTTGCAGTGTTGATGAAAAATTGTTCTTTGAACGCAATATTAAAAAATATATACAATAATGGCCACAAGTATCTGATAGAGGCGATTGCAATGAAAATTTGTTTTGTTTCACAATAGGAAAATGACCAAGCATAGATTGTCTCATGTCACAATTTGGTTCTTCTGCAAAAGAATCAAAGTATTCAACTGTATTAGATTTATCAGAATAACAAGCAATCCAATGTTCACCAACTGTCCCTTTACGCATATTATTTACGATGAAGCAAAATGGCCTTGTCCATTCTTTATTTGGGATATTATTCGAAGAAAAGACACCAAGAAACTTATTGTTTAGAGGTTTATATTTTTTAATTAAATTTTCAATTTGGAGAGAATTCATTTTTAAACAGATCCGTCAGTACTCAGCACACGATCTGCATTTATGGACATTATTGCATCGAATTCACCCATGATTATCATTTCATATCCCTCATCTTTTACAGGTCTATTGAATAAACAACGTACGCTTGTTGTTCCCTGCCTAATGAGCTCCAATCCATTAGTATCTTCCAGCGTTGATGTCATAGGTATAACAAAGAAACAAGAAGATTGTGAAAATTCTTTCATCCCTATGCTTAAAGTTCTTTGATCTGAATTTGGCCACGCATCTAAATCCATACCTATATACATATCAACAAAAGCACGTACAAAACTGTCATTGGAAAAATCAAGCTCATAAGGAACAGCTGGAAACTGGAATCCCCCAAATTCTGCTGAGACAGTTCGCAAATTCGCATGCTCAAAATTGAACGGAGACAGGGCTGTATTTCCAGCATATGCAGGAGAGCTTACAAAACAAATCACTAACCGTCTAGGACATGTACTCGTGAACGCAGCATGTGTAATTTCCTGTCGACCTTTGCCAAGAAAAACGCTCCGAATTTCAATTTTTCTATATGCATATTTTGCAGGCGACTGTTCTAAATGTCTAGCAATGGCATTATTTAGCGACATACTTAAATCAACCTGCTTAACAAAAATTCTCATATCATGAAGACGTAGGCGGTATGTGCTTGTATTGTTTAACAACTCTTCGCCAGCTTTTTTACGATATTTTGGAGCATGAATAAGGAATTCATCGGTATTTTTGTAAAATGTCCAGAGAACATCACTATTAGGAATCAAAAGCTGATTTTGTCTTGCCATATCGTAATCCAAGTGTGAGAGTAATCTGCAAGTCTGACCTCTAGCAAATCTTGATGCCCGTGCTTTAAATCCTGAACCTTCAAAATCATCTTTATCAACAGAATCTTTATAATAAAGTGCCGCCTCATAAAGACCTTTGCTGACCTCTCTATCTGCACCAAGTTCATGAAGAAGTATACATCTGTATGCATAATGGATTCCCGAGTCATAGCATTGAATTCCATTGATGGAAAGAGTTAGGCGACGAATCCATGTTAAACCTAAATATTGAGCAACACTCGTAAAACTATCACCCGCGAAATTTCCAGCCATGTCTTTAACGATGGGGACCCATTCACCTGTTGCATCAACTTTGCGTTCAAGTGATAGCACAAGACTCAGGTATGTCTTACTCAAATCTAAATAGAGCGAGTCACCAAAATAACGAAAAATAAAAGGTCCTGCAGATTGATTAAGAGCATTGAGGGGAAGTAATTCTTTGTATGCTGATCGTTGGATACCAACATTTGTTGACGGTATAGCAAAGAAAGTAAGGCGATTATCAACCCCTTCAGCACTGTCTTTATCAATTTTCTTTATTGTCGTCATTTTTTATTATCTAATAATAATAAACTAATACTTATATACTCAGATGTCTTCCAGGCTCAGTTGGTCTCTATACCGTCTCCGTTTCTTTCCTAAATTATCTATAATTACATTTTGTTTTTCCTTTCGCTTTCTTTTGCCCTTACCACATTGTTGAAGCTTTTTCCCTACTTTTTGAAGACCTTCGGTACCATGCTGTTTTAATGCTTCACTTACTGATCGCCCTTGTGAAACATCTTCAAAAATATTTTTTCCAGCATTTACAGCTTCATTACCCGCTGTTGCGGCTAGGTTTTTAACAATTGGCATTAAAAAACGCCCTACAGCCCCAAGTACACCAAATCCTCTTTGATACCTAGTTCCTTGAAAATAACGATTATCTTCAAGTAATCCTCCTCCTCCTCCGTCTTGAGCACTCAAAAATGGCTCCCAGTCAATTTTATCTAGGTCTAAACTAACGTGTGTCATTTTTTAAAATAGTGAGCGTTGAAAGTGTAATGTTAATATGCAAGTACCCCAATGGAATTTAACGAGCTTTCCAGTTAATGTTCGAATTTCAATAGTAATGTCTGGATGGCGTTTGCCTAATAAACGATGATGAGCTTCGGTCATATATACTTCTGAAATACTTTCACCAGGTTTACCAGATACATTAACAACACGTAATAACGGCGCAGTTACATTACCTATTATGCTATTTTCAACAAGTTTTGGTGCATAAACTAAAAATTGACGCACACCTCCTGATATATCAGGCATATACTTTGCGACTTGTCCACTATGAACCTTCTCAGAATCGAAACCAAGAGTATAAGCTAGTTGACGACTTAATTTAATAAATTGTACGTTTCCTTGCAAGAAGACATGAAAACGCTTATGCACTTTATCGTATAGTATGGAAACCCATTGATATTTTGGATCAGCGAGTTGTATATTTGAGAAACTAAGAAGCATTTTTAAATATTCAGGAGGATAAGCATATTCAGCTAGATGTAGTTTCTTAGGCTCCGAGTCATTTAACTCTTCAGACTCTTTTTGTTCATTTTCTTGTTTTGGAAGTTCTTTTTCTTTGGCTTTATCTGCAACATCTTTGTTTGAATCAAAAGTCCCACCACCAAGACCAAAGAAGCTTTTCCAAAAGGGAGGTCTTTCAGGGGGATCTCCAATTAACATTTCAGGACGAGGGAGCTCAGGTAGCGAATTTAGATCCTCCGGCTGAATTTCTTCTGACTCTGGTTCTTCTTCAATAGTGGGAAGATTATTTACTTTTTCAAGACGAGTCCATGGCTCCTCTTCAATTATTGTTGGAAATTCCTGAGTCTTTTCTTCAGACTTTTCAGCGACTTCCTGTTCATGATCGTGATTAATACTTTCGCCTTCGTCTTCCTTTTTTTGCGTTTCATCAGATGGAGCTTCTCCATCTATTGACTCAGCTTCTTCGTCAATATTTTCATTTTCATGTGCCGAAGGCTCTTTATAATTTTCCTGCGTATCTGGAGAAGGTTCTTCAGCGACATTATCTATTGACTCATCTTCTTCCTCAACATTTTCCTCTTCTGCAGGTGCAGAAGGTTTTTCATCCTGTTCTTGCGTATCTTCTGATGGCTCTTTAGCGACTTTTTCTATTGTCTGAGCTTCTTCCTCAACCCTTTCTTCTGCAGGTGCCGAAGGCTCTTTATCCTTTTCTTCTTCAGATGTTCCTTGAGGTTCTTCAACGTCTTCTTGTTCATGTTCTTCGTCGGCATTTTCCTCTTCTGCAAGTGCCGAATGTTCTTCATCCTTTTCATACTTATCATCAGATAGCTTTTCTTCTCCATCTATTGACTCAGCTTCTTCCTCAATATTTTCGTGTGTAAAAGGCTCTTTAGCATTTTCTTGCGTATCTTCAGAAGGTTCTTTAGGCTCTTCTTTATTTATTGATTCATGTTCGATTTGACTTTCATTATTTTCCTCTTCATGTGTCAAAGTCTCTTCATCATCAGGAGTTGTTATTTTAGATGATGAAGTTTCATCGTCTTGTTTAGAAAGTTCAGCTTCAACTTTGCCTATAATTTCTTCCGATAAAAGTTTCTGCCCCGCAACAGCTTCTTCAATTTGACAGGCTAATTCTTTAACCTTTTGTTCTGAGGCCTTAGCACGATCTGCAGCTTTTCGTGCAACAGTAACATCGCCTCGTGATTCTGCCGCTATAGTTTCAGTTTGTGCTTCTGAAACCCTATCTTTTGCCTCTAAGCATTCTTGTATCCATTTATCTATTTCATTTCTTCGACTAAACAATAACTTTAATTGTGTTACAACCAATTTTAGAAGGGTTGCAGGTACTTTTCTTTTAGTTACTCCCGTCTCATGTAATGTTACCTCTTCATCTAGTAGTGCATACTTATAACGAGCATCTACCCAATATTTCTGATTAAGTTCTTTATTTAGTTGTGATTGTTGCTTTGCCAATTCTACACTATTAGTTAATGACCTTGTAGCTGCACGAACAGCCATATCTATTAAAGTTTTTTGTTCATCTGTTAGGCTTGGTGAAGCATCAGAAAGAGATGGTATATTTCCGTCTAAAAGAGTTTTATCCTTTTGCTTTTCAGTATCCTGTTGTAAATCATCCGATTTTTCTTCAGAAGATACTGGAGCTTCAGTAGGAGCTTCTAATACAGGTGTTACTGGCGACTTTGGGATAGGAGGATCATCAGTTACATAACTATCAGATGTAGGCGAACTTTCTGTTTTTTCATTAATTTGATTTTTAACTTGAACTTGAGAAGGAGCAGGCGTATCTGTTTCAGGATTTTCAGCAACATTTTCCACCTCGTCTTGTAGAGGATTTTCAGGTTTAGATTGGGAAGTTGATGCAAAATTTTTAATTGCATTTATTATTATATCTTTCTGATCTGGTTGTGGCTTTAAACGAACAACAGAGCTGCCAGCAACTGATGATACAACTGGAAGTTTTGCCCCCTTAATTTCTTTATTTAAATATTGTATAAATTTATAAGCAAGGTCCTTTGACATATCGAAGTGACCTTCCTTATCTAATTGTTGAATGACACTTTCATCTTCACTATCGCGCACGGCTGTGGGCAATGATTCTTTTTGTTCATCGTGTGTTTGCGGAGTAGATTCAGGGGTTTCAGAATGAGGAGTAATAACCTCTTCAGCGCGATCAACAGAGCTAAATTCATCAAGTGCTCGTTTAATCTTCTCTTTTTGATCTTGATTTGGTGTGAATCGTACCATTGCTATACCATCCACTTCATGAGGTCTTATAGGGGGTAATCGAATTCCTTCTTTCCCTAAATATTTCATAAAATTAAATGAAATTTCCTTTGACAAATCAAAATAACCATTTTTATCTAATTGTTCGCCTATAGTCTCCACAGCCCTCCTTTTACGAAAGTTTCCATAGATTCTTTTTTTATTCTCTTCAAGTCTCATTTCCTCACGCTCGCGATCCAATTCCTTTTTCCAAGCATCAAGCAAAACTGCATTTATGGCCTCTTCCAACGCCTCTTCTGAGGCAAAGGATAAATCAGGTATTTCGATTCGAACAGATAGAAGTTCCTTTCCATATCGGCGATAAATTGTAATAGATTCTTGTTCATCAGAATCTCCAAGTAAAGAAAATGAAAACGGGTAAATAATATTTGAAAGTGCAACAGTCCAACTTGAATCTAACTCGAGTGTATCAGGCATTCTGACTGTAAATCTTGATGTGGTATTTCCTTCGACATCGCCAGAATTCGAAGGTAAAACAACATAAAATGAATCCATTGTCAATGTCTAACTATATCGCTGTCGTTTACCCAACTATTATGAATATCTTTATAACCAATCCAGCGCACAAAGTGTTGCTTTACCCCTGTACGTGTTGTACGAGTCTTTAAAATTTCGGCAATACGATGAGTAGTATCCTCTTGTGTGGGTACCAACTCTTCTCTATAGAATATTCCTTCAATTAAGTTGTCTTCAAAATCTTTTAACCTATATGTTATAGGAGTACGTGAGTCGTTAGTTGTATGTATAATAAAAAGCTCGTCAGTATAGTTTGCTAAATATCCTTTTTCAAATTTACCTTTTTCTTTTGATATGCGGACAACTTGTCCAGGCTCGAGTTTAGAAGTTATTTTAATAGGTGTATCAGTGTCCTTATATAGCCTCTCAAATAATTTTCGAGAATTCTTAAAAGTAACTGAAATAGGTGTAACACCTGTAACACGGTTTACGCTTGAATTTATTCCAGAAACAATTTGCTGAATAGCCTCAACCCAACGGAGTGTGTTTTTTTCGCTAAAGTATCGGTATAATCTTTCCTTTATTGTACGATTTGCCCTTTCTGCCATTGCAGCATGCACATCAGGACTATAAACTACACGCTTATCAATATCCTTGGATCTAAAATAATCCTTCATTTTTTTAGCCTCAAATTCTAATCCGCGATCAGTATACAATTTATGAGGCAAGATACCATCAGAAAGTTTAAAAATTTTTTCAAATGCCTCAATCATATCTTCTGATCTCTTTGTCTTGACCTGTGCGGCAAAAATCTTTCGACTTAGAACATCAATACATATTAAAAGGTACCGGTGACCATCATTATGTTTAGCTAACTGATCAAATATTGCCAAATCTGCCTGCCAATCTGTATGAAGGCCACTTGGGCGTGTAACAAGCCTTGGAAACTTTTTCCTTGAAGGCCTATGCATTGTATACACTCTTTGCTTATGCAAAAAATTGTAAACATCCTGAAATTTAATCTTTGGATATTTGAGCCTCGCTTCTTCATAAACGCGATTTATTCCTGCATACGAAGCAGGAGAATTTAGCGAATAATAAATTTTTGATAAAACGTTATCTAAAGCTTTTCCCATATCTGAGGAACAAATTTATTTTTCCTTTTTATAGGCAAGACTTTTACTAAGACTTTTTTCTTTCTTTTCCCACTACCTGATTGGCTTCCAGAACTTTCTTCTGTACTAGTTTCTCCGCGCGTCTCTTTAATCATTTCCTTAACTAATGGGTCCTTGGATAGTCGATTAAATAGAAAACTAAAGCCTTTAGGTGGTGATGATATATCCCCTTGTACATATTCGAGTACCTCTGTGAAATTACTATTCTTCACAATTCTTCCTTTAACATTAGATTCAAAGCTTCCATTCTTAAGTATTCTAAATTTGTCCGCATTATCTTTTACATAATTTTCTAAATCCTTCGAATATCTTTTTGAAATAATTCCATTAAAAGGTGTTGATTTTTTTCGTTTTGAAAAGGTTGCTTCTGAATCTGACTGATATTCCTGATTTGATTGTACAGGCATTAACTTAGACTTATGGTTTGCTGTTTCCCTTAGATAAGGAGCAACTTCTGAAGCTCTTGCTGTTTCGTCGATAATAGACCTTTGAGGTCTATTTTCTAATTTATGTTTGAGTTGTCTTCTTTTTTTATATAACCAATTATATTTTTGGGCTTTTACATCTTCACTTAGATTTGGATCATTAAGTGTCTGTTTAATTTTTGAGTCAGCTTGTACTTTTTCATTTTGAAGAAAATCTCCGCCTTTTATCATGCTTAAAAGTGCATTATATTCACTTTCAGGAATCATAATCATTTTCTTTGTATGTTTCATTCTTGTGAAAATCTATGAATTATATGTTCTGCTAGGGCTCCCAGGACTGGTACAAGTATAGCTGCTAGAGCAGCACTACCTCCTTGTTGTATTCGATTTCTGGCGCCTTTCTCTGAACGAGTTCTGGCGATAGCTCTATAAAAATCAGCAAACTGAGCTAATTTCTTGCGCTGTCTTCTATTAAGAGTAAAATTATTTTTTAAAATATTAGCACAGATTTCAACTATTGCTAATATTTGATCCGCGCTGGCTGAAAGGATTAAGGCGTTTTTCTTCTTATCGGAAGATGTTTTAGCTAAGCTCTGTAAAAATTCAAAATTTTCTTTGACGTATGGACTATAGTCATACATTTTTTATAATTAATGTTTTTGGAGTACTTATATATCATAGAGGCAAATATATAGTCTGTTTTTCACCTGGAAATATTTTAGTGGATAGTCGTAAATTCTCTTCCGTACTAGGATGCATGTTAATTAATAAATAAGAAAATCTATCACTAGTAGCATCGCGATAAGCTTCCAGAAAATAATTTAGCATTTTTGGAAAAAGCTGAGACCCCAGAGTACGCACCTGCAATAATCCCTGAGGATTTTTTGTTAAAAGAATATAGTGGGCATTTGCACGCGCGGTTCTTATATCTCGTCCATAAAGAGATTGAGTTACAAAGATTACGCTTACACCCCAATTATGTGATCCTCTCGTAAAGAGTAAATCAAGAAACTCACTTGGAATATTTAACATAAGATCATCTAGAACTAATAACTGGTGTTGTTTCACTAGCTCAGCTTCTGGAACACCATTATGAGTTGTAATTCCCATTTCTTTTAGTTTAAATATATTTTCATTTATTTCGCCAAAACAATATAATATTTTATTTGGCGGTGGTTCTACTAGTTGTTCATAATTTGCTAGAAATCTCATTAACCACTGGGTTTTTCCGCTGCCTGTGGCACCGGAAATAACCATAGTGAAAGGCGCTTTGAACATGCTTATTTTGAAAAATAAAACTTTAATTTTTTACTTATATATTACAGATGTTTCAAAAAGCAATTATTCAAAATGTTGTTTCAACTTCAAGTTTAACCGAAGAAAAGGAAAAATTAGATCTCAATAAACTTGCAGCCACAATTAAAAATTCTAAATATCGCCCAAATAGATTTTCTGCACTTATTATTAAAATCCGTGAACCTATTCGCGCTACCGCATTATTATTTTCAAATGGACGAATTGTTTGTGTAGGAACAAAATCTGTTAAGGATTCGAAACTTGCAATGCAAAGATTTGTCGATATTATTTCTGCAACGACAACAATAAGAATAAACATTAAAGGATTTAATATCCAAAATATTGTTTCTTCATTTGCCTTTCCAGGGCATTTAAATTTACCAGGTAATACTTTGCACAAAATTTTTTTATTTTTAGCTCTATATGATTCACTGCGGATTTATCCTCCTGTTTGGCTAGCGAGGCACATCTCTTATAACCCGGAATTTTTCCCTGGGATGTGTTTAAGGATTAATGATTCACGGACAATTGCCTTGGTCTTTACAACAGGAAAGTGTATAATTACTGGAGCAAAATCAGAAGATGAAATTTACTTGACACAAAATTTAATTTACAATTCTATTTTAACATTTTTGAAATAATCAATAAATGCTTAAGTTAACTTCAGTTCTTAATTCCATCAAAAGTTTGCCAAGATTATTCTCACCCTCCCATTGACTAGGATCCTTAAGACCTTTAGATGTTGGACTTAAACCATTGCTCCAATAGAATTCTGAAGTAGATGCTTGAGTAATTAGAGCATCACCTGTTTCACGTAGTTGATTAAATAGTTGTATATTTTGTGTAAATTTTGCCCATAATCCAGTATACATAACCTAAATATATAAATCGTCAAGAAAAGTTTTTTTAATTTGCCTTGTTGCGAACTGAATACCATTCTGATTGTTTGTACTCGCGTATGCGCTTTCCAATTCTTCGTATTGTAATAGGATTTCGGATTAATAGTATTTCGGAAGCAATTTCTAAGTCGCCAAAGTATCGAGCCTTTTGCCACACAAAATACTGGTCGATTGTAGTGAACTTTCTCCCAAGCACAGTAAATTCAGAAATAAAGCGATTATCGAATCCACATCGTTGTGTGTGAAAAACAAAAATTTTTTCGTTCTGAGTTCCAATGAGTTCTTCGGGTGGTTGTGATAATTTTGCAGGTTGGTGGATATTCATCTTCTCTATCATGGATGCAGTTGTGCCTTTAATTTATAAAAATTATTTTATTTTTTAATTATTAAAAACCTATATTCACGTCACTGATCATTTTCTATAAATCGATCCTAAAATTATTTCAAAAATTTATAAAATTACAAATAGATATGACGATTAAACGATTAATTTAAGAAAAAATTTGATGTAAAAATTTTATTCAAAAATAGAACATTCAGTTGGATCATTTATAGAATCTCCTCTGTATCCATAAGGGTAACAATCTAAATTTGCATCGACAACCCCTTTGTCATATATAGGAGCATAACTTCTGCAAAAACTAATTTTTTAATATTTAAATTCAAATACCTTTTTTGTGAGCGACTTGTAACTTGACCTTGTCGCCAACTTGGTTGAAAATGTGTTCTCTCGAGTAAGACATTATCTTGTTCATCGCCATATGCTTCCACCATTTTCTATAAAATTTTTCTAGACATAACTTTATTAAAAAATACCTGAAATTGTTTAAAATCTAATGGGGAGTCTACTTTGTCCCAAAAACCACGGCATTTAACAATATATTTTATTTCACTACTTGTCCTGTGCTTCAACTTCATCGCATACTAAAAATGTAAACATAAATTAAAATATTTGAAAATACCTGTTTACATCCTCCAGAATAAAACGCAAGTATTGACCATTCTTCGTACTCACGACTCATCATTCCAAGCATGTCGCCTACACCAAACGGCGGAATTTTCCCACGTTTATGGACATAGAAGCAACTATCAGTATCCGTATATAAAAGTTTGCAATCTTTATCGTTCACAATTTGATCCATATATTTGTAAAGTATCACTCTGGCATTTGCAGTGGTAATGAGAGCCAAAACAATATTATACTTTTCATGTGGTCGAACAAATTCACGTCTATTGCGAAATGGCACTGCAAATAGACCGGGAGTCAACATTTCGACAGCTCCAATTTCTAGCTTCGGATCATTAAGTACCGTATGAAGTTTAACAGGGGAGCTGGTTATACAGTCTTGTGTTAAATTGCACCGTAGTGCCCAACGTCCCCACCTTAATTCGTAAGATTTTATAAAATATATTTATTACATTGAATTATTGCATGTTTTTGCTAAGTATCTCATTCCATCATTTTTGGCAATTCGTGAAGGCTCAAGTTTAATACCGTATTCTTTTTGATTTTTTTCGATAAATTCATTTTTAAGTTCTTGTTCCAATTTAGGATTTTCAGCAGCCAAAACACTACTTGGCCATCCACTTGCCTAAAATAAATATTTTTTGTTTCAAAAATAAATAAACCTCAATTTTTAATCGCATCATGTCCTGAACATATGGTCGTAGCAGTTTATCTGACCATTCACCCCAATGATATATGCTAATTACCTTTGTTACCCGATAGCCTTTCACCAGAGCAAGTTCAAGTTCAATAGAGCAGGTAGTGCTAATAAAACCCCTCTTCTCATCGCTGTGCGCGCACCATTTTTTAGCATGCCTTCGACTATATTTGCATTCAGTTCGCTTCGCTACACCTGGTTCCATCTCAATCGCACATTGATGACATAGATGAAAAATCTAGCTATAATTGTTAATTTTCGGAAAAAATAACAAACTAATTTCCCATTTATGCGCTCAGGGATTACTGGCAAATACAAGTCTTCCGGCGGAATTATAAAAATTTTGAATATCCCACGATAAGATTTCAAGTCTTCAGGTTTTGTCCATAAAACTTCTTCATTAATATCCAAAACACTAGGATGTCCTAATTAAATAATTTTTTTAAATAAGAAAGAATAAAAACCGATAGGATAAGACGCATAAAAGTTTACTGCTGGGTATAAACTGACAACATCAAAACATGAAATTTCATAATCATTTACTGCCAAACTTTCAAGATTACATTTAAGTGCCAATGGACCTGTTCTCCCGCCTAAAAAGAAAAAGAATTGATATTTAAATATACAATACCGTGAAAAGCATCTCTTGGATATAAAGGTCCAATATCTGGTAATTCGTCAAAGAAAAGTTTCATTTCCAGATCAATTTCCAATTTTTTGTATACATCACACTCCCAAATAATTTTGGTCTCTATATCCTGTTCTTCTATTAATTTAATTCTTTCATTCAATTTGTCTTGGTTATACAAGGCGGTCTTTCCATTTAAACATAGTTCATGAGGGCGATAGAGACTAAAAATGTTTAAATTTTAAAACTTAAAAAATTATACCATTCATGGCCATGCCATGCGCAGCCGAGAAATTCAATAGCAATATTTTTTTCTTTGATAAATCCATCAAGTCTTAATAAACTTCCGTCTGAAACACGGAGTCTATATTCACCTTCGGCACTTTGTCGATTTTGTATTTGCAATCCTGTTTTATGTTCAATCCATCGTAATACTTTTATAGCGATTAACGATTGATTTGTATCCTTGTAATACCCGTTGTCAGGAATAATACCAATTTGGTTTGGTTTCAAATAATTTATACCTGAATAAACTTTATGTTAAAAATTATTTTATAAATTACAAAAATGTCGGAGGCATGCGCTGGCCAAAGTCATAGATGAGACAATTATATCATCACGTTTTGAAAGATCAGGAGCAAGATCAAAAAATAGCTTTTGAAGTTTCACAAGAGCATGAGCAAGGATTCTTACATCCTGTTCACAATATTCCACTATTTGTTCACGAAGACAAAATGAATCATCTTTATGATTTTGATACCAATTTTCAAACTCCTTTCTCCTTTCTTTTCCCATTGATTCTGGGTAGTAATATTTTTTCTCAGGCAGAGTTTTAAGGCGTATGTCCATATTTATATTATAGTTCCATCCGTGAGGAAAGAATGATTTTCCTCCTTCATCAATTTCAAGTCCAAGAGCTTTTGGTAATTGCTCCAATTTTAACATCATCCAATTAAATGAATCACGAAATGAAATATAAGGACAAAGTCCTTCTTTTTTTTTTAAAAGAACTTCGTACAGTTTATTCCCTGTACGTGTTATGTTTGGCTCGAGCCCAAAATGCTTTATTAATTCACCCAATAGTAAGTGCATATCATAACGCCTGAATTATGATTATTGAAAAATATATTATTACAAACCCTCCATAATGTGAAATTGCAAATGTGCGTCCTGCTCTATCTCGTCCAAGATCATCAATTAACCAATTAAGAAATTTTCGAAGTGGATTTTCATAATTAACACTCGTCCAACTACGTATCCTTTGTTGGGCTTGCCCACAGATTTTACACATGTCCGTATTTTCATTTTTCCACTTATCATTTTGCATACATTTTGAACAGAATAACATTGCCTATAATTTATTTAAAAAATATACACATAATTTTTACCGAAACACAGTTAACGTGATGAAATTGATAATTATCATCTGTGGGTATTGCATGTGAAGGTGTCAAACCATATTTTTCTAGTTTTCCCCATTCTTCAGTATTTTTTGCAGGCGAAACAAGCATGCATTCAAAATCAAATACAACCTATTTTTTAAGTTAAAATATTTTATAAAAATTTACCATGAGATAGTCCTTTGGTTTTTTAGGAATTACAGGTTGTACGTAACATTTTTCTTCGACCCTGTGCCATGAACGACAGAGAGAACAAAACTTCATAAAACATTCATGGTCTTCTTCATTTTTATTTCGATATATTTGCCCACATTCCTTGCATCTATTATAAAACCAATTAAATCAAAAATTTAGAAAAAACCTTATAAATATTTTGCATATGCCTTTTTCCAAATGCCTCTTATAGCAAGTTGGGTTCCTGAATATATTGGAGCATTTGGAACAATTAAGCTCGAATCCATCAGCTTCTTTACAAGGATAATCACGACCCATTCCACAGCACCTAGGGCATTTTGCTATGCATGTTTGTTTATGTTGATTGATTTTTTGAAAAGGTGCCTCGCAGTCCATACAGTAAAAATTTGATCCAAATAATTTATTAATTTTTCTTATTCCAAAGTAATGTCCATCCTTTAAATATAGACTGATATCATGAATTGCTCTTTCAGATCCTTTCCATAAAGGACGCATTTGACCATTTTCTCCAAAAACCGACAACCTATATTTTCCGGGAAATTGTTCATCAAGTAAATTTTGTATCAAAGGAACATGTTCTTCGACGCTATACTTAGGCAGATTATGTGGGTATCTGATTCCATGTTTTTTAAATTGAATTAACATTTCTTTAATTAATAAAGCGCGCTTCAACTTTGCACCTTTTCCTTTTCTCGTCACAAGATTGAAAAATTTTTTCCTTGCAGTCTGGTTTTTCTCTATGTTGTTGTAAATAATTGTCAATTGCACTGCTAATAGAAGGCAATGATTTTTATCAAATCCATCCATATCTTCGTTATTGACCTAATTAAAATATTTTTAATTTTTATCTGCTTATAATACTTTTATTAAATTATTTATGTCGATGCCATGTACAATTTCACGGGCTCTTCTGCCGCTCCCGCTTCTTCCTTTTTGAATCAATTCCTGAACCTCGCTATGTGAAGGGCCCATTAAAATCTATAATAAAAATTATTCTATTACGTCAAATTACCTCAATGTGAATTGGCTGGCTGAATAGAGATAGTCTACCCATTCTTTTCCCACTTTGTTCAACAGTGTCCAATTGTTCCATTACAACACTTGGAGTATTTTGAGCCAGTCCTCTATACGGTATCTGGATTGGCTTTTCAAGGACGGAGCTGCGAATAATTATTGAACACTTTTCTGATTTAGAGCCTGCCGATTTATCAGCTCTAGACAGAAAGTGATCGATTAATGCTTCCAGCAGATTATCGCTGCCTTCTGGTGCATCTTCTATATTTTTTATTGAGAAAACGGATCTAAATTAAAAATGTTTTATGTCCGACGATTTATAATAACCTGAAAACACCAATCTTAAATCTTTTACTTTCAATTTTTTCAGATGTCTTCTCTGTAATAATGGTCAATTCGATATCCTCCAAAATTTTTATTATACTTCATCTAAAAAGCTAAAAAATTTAAAATATTATTAATTTTTTAGGTAATCGTGTTAAAAACATATTATGAAAAATGAAAAAATTATTACAATTTTATTTAACATTTTTTTAAATTAATATTTAAACGGATGTCTCAGCTTTTTCTTCTTTATTGAATTCCTTTGATTTTGATAATTCTTCCTCTGGTTCTTCATCTTCTTCTATAACCTTAAGTGTTGTACTTAATTGATTATTCATAAATATAATCGGTGATTCTAAAAAATTGAATAAATGATTACGTAAAATTATTACAAGACCTTTATCCTCAGGTGGCACTATTTTTCCCAAGTCTGTATCAAAGTAGCAAATATTAATCGCAGACTCTAAATCAATCTGTTGCCAAAACTTGCTTAGTGGGTTTTGAAGTTCATGATATAATTCATCTTTAACAACTTCAGTTACAGCCTTAAATACAAGTTTAATTATTCCTAAAATGATTACATACAATGCGAGCTAAGGCGTTCCTTTCTTTAAGCAGATACTCATGTACACGACTAGTTGATATAAGAGGATAACGTCTTTCATGATGACGCATAAACGCGTTATAAAGATTGTTTTTGAGCTCTTTGCTTTCTTGTTTAACTCCCTCAAGCATAATGATTTGTCTTGAAAAACGTTTAACACTCCCATTGAGTTCGCAGATAGCTTTATCAGCAATATGTTGATCCATCAGTTACAATATCTAAATATTCTAAAAAAAGATTAAATTTTGATTTTAAGAAATTTTGGAAAATAAAATCGATATAATTACGAATTTAAAGTTAATTTTGTTTTAGAAAATATTTATTCAACAGGCTTCACAAGATTTAAATCTTTTATCATTTTATCATTATTTCTTTTTGCTAATGTTGGCATAAGTTTTTTGTTGATATTCAATATTATCTATCGAGCAGAAAGAACAGACCTGAATTCTTTATATAAAAAATAATAACTTTATCGAATACCAAAAAGCTCAATTCATATTTATCATCAGCTTTTTGAAGGAAAAGGTCAGAGGCCATTGCATTTTGATGATCACAGCATTGCGAACACTTAAGAGCATTTATTTTATTTTTTAAATTATAAATACCTGGTGCAATATCCAACAAAACTTAATCAAATTAAGCAGTTTCTTATCATTATTTATGGCAATACTCTCTCCACGGCGAAAACGAAGAATTCCAGCAGCTTAATATAAAATCTTGAAGTAAATTAATTTGAAAAACCTTTATTAAAAGTCGAAGTCTGTTCACAAGTTTGGTGATCTTTTGAGGATTGGCCTGCAAAAATTATTAAAAATTACTGTATATCGTTTTTTATATCTAAAAAATATATAAAATTTTATACTTACCCCAATTTGATGAGTAATGCATCGCTAAATTAATGTTTTTATCTAAATCTTCTGCGCATATCAAAAGAGTAAGCACTGAAATTTCAGAGTGTCCGGATTTGAATAAAAATGTTTCCCTTTTCTTTTGATTTTCACGACAGGAGGTGCATTGAAATATGAAGATACCAGATCTTGGCTTTTTAAGAACTTTTGCACGCCTAAGTAATGCCTCAGGCACAATTTGTTTTGAACGTTGTTGACCTTAGGTATTTATTATATTTAAATTTTTTAATTTAATTACGTTCAAGTCGCATCCGCTTATACTCAGCTTCATCTTCTCCAAGGTCTATTACTTCATCAGACTCTGGATCGTCGGAAGTATCAACCTCTTCAATATCATTGCTTATAATATTATCTATTTCATCATCTATATCTTTCTCGAACTTTGCTTTTGCAGTGATAGACTATTTATATAAATAAGTTATTGAAATTGTTAAAATATACCTTAATAGTTTCGTCAAATACATTTTTTGAAATTTTTTTATTTTCTTGTGTTTTTTTCGGCTTTGGTGCTTTGCTTACAGACGAAGATGAACTGCTTGTTTTTGCCGCTGCTCTTCTACGGCTTATTTCCTTCTTTTTTCGGTGTTCCTTGATAAATTCACGAATTTCGTTCAATTCTTCAGCTGTAATTAAATTTTATGTATTAAAAGTGATTTACCTACCTTCAAATTGATCGATCCTTTGATTTTCTAATATTAAAAATTAAGTTAGTTTAAAAAATTAATTACCAATTTTATTTTCGTCAAGATTTTGCATGTCGCTTTTGCCTAAATAAATAAGTTTGAAATATAAAAATTTTATTTAAAATATAGAATTAAAAAATAAATATTTAAAATTTTTTTTAAAGAGACATGCCGTTCATAGATGAATTAGCCATTTGGATATATTTATCAATTTTAGAGAGGGAAAATTATTTTGTAATTTAGGAATGAATGGTATGATTGCAATAATCGTACGGCTTTTATACTGGAAATTTTTCCAGACAATTTGTTTTTTATATAATTAATCATTGATGTTTGAAAATTTTTCATTGAAATTTACAAAACTGTCCAGGATATCTATGAATGATCACATCATTTGTGACAGTTTTTTTTTGAAAAAAGTATATTTTTTATTTTTTATGCAAGTTTTTTCAATATTATCTGTTGAACCCATCTTTATTAATTTACTATTTCACGTTTTTTAAATTTTTCATTAATTGCATACATTTAATTTTTGATCTTTATTAGTTTTAAACAAGTTGGCCCGTTGTTCTGGAAAAAAAATTTATGCTCGACCGCGGTATAAAAGCACAGAAAAGTTACCAGGTTTCACATTTTAATTTTATTTTACATATATTAAATCAGAATTTATTTATTTTTATTAAATTTATTTATATATTATTATTATTTAAATTAAAATATTTAAATAAAGCTAAATAATTTTTACTTATTTATATTTCAAAAATATTTTAAATTAAATTTATTTATTTTTTATAAACATTTATTTTAGATTTGACTAAAATATTATATATATATAAATAATCAAAATAAGCTTTAAACTTTTTAAAGGCATTTATGCCATGAATTTCCACGATAAATAATTCTAAATAAAATTTCTGGTGAAATAAATTAAAATTTAAAAGAAAATTTTAATGTGAATTTTTTATTTAATTGTTTATAATACAAAAATTTAACTAAACTCAATAATAAATTTCTAATAGTTTTATAATTGGCAGATAGATTTACTTTATTTAGTAGTTAATTATAATTATTTAATTATCCGTTCTTATTTAAATGCATGAAGTTATTTGCTAATTATTTTCATTTTTTATAAGATTTTATTTTATATATGAAAATTAAATTTGAGTCAATTAAAAAACATTAAAAATGTTTTATTTTTATTTTAAATCTATATAAATTAGAAAATGTAAAATTTAATCATGTAAATTTAAATTTAAAAAATTAATGGATTAAAATTAAATATAAAATTAAATATAATATTCAATATTTTTTAACATATATGTTGTGTCAACATATTAATAAAACTAAAATTTGTAAAACAGGAATAATAAACTTTTTATTAAATTGTTTTATTAAAATTAATTTTTTACTAATATAAAATTTTAATAAGTTTTATTTATCAATATATCTTATTTGTTCTCAATAACTCTCATATTGATGTATTTATTTAATATTATAATCAATATAATGAAATCAATTTTATAAAAATACCTTTTATTATAATCAAAATAATATAAAAAATATTATAAATTATTAAAAATATTTTTAATTTTTAAATTTAAACTTTAACAAACAGTTAAAATTGGTAATAAAATTAGTGATAGGATATATAATTTATAACAATTTACATTTACCACAAGTATTTTCAGTATTATATATTTAAATTTCATTGATATTTAAATTAAAAAATCTAAATTTAATTTTTAAATCATAGGTTAGCTTATTAGCATTAATTTAATAAAAAACAGAATAATTTAATAAAAAACAGAAAATATTTTGGTTAAAATAAATTCGTAAAACTTCGATTTAATTTATTAAGATTTTATAAAGAATAAATTTGTTAAATTTAAATTTATAATAATAATAATTAATTTATATAATAATTTTTTTAAGATATTGCTAATTTCTACCCCCAAAATTTCATTTATACTAGTTTGCTACATTACAATTATTTTTAATTTTTAAAATCTAAATTTTTTAACATCATTTTTATTTATTAATCACTCTAATTTTTATTAAATTCATCTATCAAACTAAATTTCATTCTTAAAGTTATAATGCTTCGTCAGGAAGATTATTAGAACATCTTGAACAAAAACAAACTCTATTATTTCCATTATTAATTTCTTCATCTTCATTGCTAATGATAGTATTATTCTTATAAATTTTATTCCATTTTTCATTAATTTTATTTAATCGGTAATTTTTTACAAATTTATTATAACGATTCACAATCCAGCTTAAATCCTTTAAATTTATTTAATTATTTTATTTTTATTCTTAAATTTTTGTTCGAATACTTACTCTTAATTGCGGTTCAGGTTTTTCAATATAATTTTTGGAAAAGCAAGTTATTATCATTTGCTAAATTAGATGTTTTAAAAATTTTTTTATAAAAGATTATTTAATTTTATAATTTAATTTTATATTTAATTTAATTAATTTTATATTTTATAGTTTAATTCTAACCTTTATATCTTTCCAATAATTGTGGCGCGAATCTATCGGGGTAACTACTTCGCCATGAAGTCTCAAACAATGTTTGATCACTTCAGACCTATTATTTCCACCCTAATTATTAAATTATTTTTATGAAATTATGTTATTTTAATTATTAATCAAACCCTCGAAACCCTAACTTTTAAATTCAAAATCTTATCCTAAAAATTCAAAAACCCTACCCGATTTTATCTAACCCTACCCATCTATGATTTAAAAAGTTAAATATACTCTATGGCAAATTCCACACTTCCATAATTCCATATGGGGCATGTGATGATATATATGCTTTATGTAGTCCTTTTCTATTATTTTTTTGCATATTTTACAAAATATTGGTGAACATTTTTTTAATTTAATCATAGAAAAGCCGCTAACAATACGGCTTAGATGTGATCTCATCCGAATCTCTTCCCTTTTAATCAGTCCTATACGTCTTTAAAAAATTAAAATTTAAAATTATTATTTGTAATTAATTTAAACAATATTTATAAAATTTAGAATTAGGTATTTTAGCTAATGAAACTTAAAAACATGATTTAAAATGGATCTAAAATTATTAGTTATTAAAATTAAAAATTAAATTCATTATTTAAATTTTTGAAATTATCGAAATAAAAATTTATAAGTATTATTTACCTTTTTCCAAAAATTTTTCTCGTATTTCTCGACTTATTTCCCATCTTTATTATTTTTTAGATAAATTTAATCTATTAAAATTAAATTAATATGTTAAATATCATTAAACAAACGTTCATCAAACAAGAGTTAATTATGATAATATTAATCAAATATTAAATTAGTTTAGCTTAGTTTAAATTAGGAGCTTTCTATAGATTTGATTAAAATATGTAACTTAATTTATGCTACTTATGATTAAAAAGTATGAAATTTAATTTTAAAAATGAGAATATATTATAATCTTAAATAATTATGAAATGAATTTATTAAAATATATTAAATATTATAACATTGGATTAATTAAAAAACTAAATTAATAAAATAAATAAATTCTAGCTAAAAAGCCTCAAATACTAATATTAAACTTATTTTACAAATAATTGCAATAAAGAATTTTCTAAAATTTTCATATTTTCTAAAAATCCTAAAAAAGAAATTTGAAAAGAAATTTAAAAGGATAATAGATATTATTTTAAAATTTATTTTTAAAATTATATATTTAATGGAGAATTATTAATTTAAATTAATTTTATGAGGAATCTGAGATCCTTAAATAGTAAATTTTTTTTGATTTTTAATGTTTTGTTAACCTTTTTTTCCAATTTTTTTTATATTTTTCTTATGTTAATTATTTTGATTTTTAATATTTTTCATATTTCCAGTATTTTAACTTATTTTTGCCATTTTTTTTATCAAATGATGACTTTTAACCTCTTATTGTTTTATTTTTGTCTACAAGTTTTCAGACAATTCTATTTTTTATGCACCCTTTTATTTTTACAAGTTTTTATATTTTATTGCCAAATTTATTTTTTATTTTTTTATTTTTCGACAACTTGTTGCAATTACATACTTTTTTATTTGTATTTCTATTTTTTTCACTTTTTCTTTATAATTTTATTATGTAACTGAATGATCCGTGTTTTAGATAAAATTTTTGTTTCCAAATTTTCAGACATTTATATATTTTTCACTCTTTTATTTTTCCAGGTTTTTATATTCTATTGCCAAATTTATTTTTAATTTTTTATTTTTCCATAACTTGTTGCAATTAATGTTTTTTTGTTTGTATTTACATTTTTTACTTTTTTTAGTTTTATTATGTAACTGACTGATCCGTGTTTTAGATAAATTTATTTTTCTATTATTCTAGTTTTTTGTTTTCCTCATTTTTCTTTAGTTGTTTTAATTTTTATTTGTTTTTAATTTTTACTTCTTAGTCATTTTAATTATTTTTTTCTTTTTATTTGTTTTTATTTTAAAAATTTTAAATCAAAACAATTTTAATTTTTAGTTGTATTATATGTTTTTGTTCGTGAGAGTGTTTCTTAATCTTTATTTTTTATTTTTTAAATTTGCAAATAGTTTATTTTTGGATAGGTTTTTCCTTATCTATTTATAATTTGATAGATTATATATTTGTATTTGATTTTTTTAAATTATTTTTTAGTTAAAAATTTTGTTTAGCAAATATTAAATTTTAGCAAATTATTATTTTTTACATTTATTTTTTAAATATTATAAAGTTATTTTATTAAATTTTTTAATGTATTTTACATAAAATTAGTTTTATAATATATTTTCTACACGATCATTTATTAAATATATTTTTTAGTATTTTAGTATTAATTTTAGTATTATTTAGTATTTTAGTATTTTTAGTATTTTAGTATTTTTAGTATAATATTTTCAAATTTTTTAAAATTTAATTTTAAAGTTTTTCTTTGATAAGAAAAGATGATGGTGATCCTCATGCTTCTTATTGCCAACATGAATATTCGCTCAAATGGATTATATTTCTATGACATTCAATTTTCCCAATCCATTACCTCCACTTTGAATTACTTTAGTTGCTTTAAATATTTTTGACTGCTTTAAATCCAAAAAAAGAATATTCAGTCTTTAAAGAAAAAATCCAATATCAATTTATGTAGTTTTTAGATTATTATGATTTCTTTAATTCATCACCCCCCGTAATTTAGAAATGTCTACAAATTTTGATCATGAATCTTTCCTAACTAAATGCTTTTGTGGTAAATAAGTCTTTTAGTCTAAATTAAATACTTTTAAAAGTTGTTTTTAAATTTCTACAACTTCCATTTTATTTGGAGGACCAATTAAAAAAGAATGGAATTTCACCAATTTTTCCTAAAGTTGGAAATGATTTGTCTTTATTAAAACATTTTCTTATCAAAAATTGCAGAACTTGATCCATATATGTTTTTTGTATTTTTTGTTCAAAATTTATTAAATTAGTAGAAATCGAGATACCCACACGAAACTCCATTTTTTCACTTATATTCCTGGGGGTTCTCTTAAGTTTATCATTCCTCCAAACTTGTGGTTAGATATAGAATTTTTAAAAACTCAAGTTTAATCGGTTAAATAATAATTTATATTTTCTCTATTAAATTTTAGATTTTATTTATTTATATTTGTTTTTTTGATTGTATTTCCTTTGAAAATTTCCTTTTTGATTGTATTTCCTTTGAAAAAGGGAATAATTATTTTCTTGAAAAAATACACAAGTTTTATTTCCGCAAAAAAAGGGAATAAAAATGATTTAAAAATTAGTTAGAAGTATACATCATTTTTATTTCCTAAAAAAAGGGAATAAAAATGGTGTATATACTACTTTTACACTTTATCGCTCATTCCAATCGCTTCCGCTCATAATTTATATGTCGCAATAGTCTAGGTTTTTTGCGTTCTGTGGTTTATTTCTGGATCGGAAGACGTACAGGGTGACAAAAAACACCAAGGAGGTAATGTGCCCGGTCACTTCTTTGCCATCGTGAATATTCTGTGTTCTGTGCACAGAATGCAGAATCTGCGGTCAATTGAAATAGGGCCCAGGCTGAGGATACCGTACAGCTCTACTATATATGAAGGTGAGAGGGAGAGAGACTGTGCCTTTTTTAATCCTCTCTTAAGGGGTGCTTCTAATAGAGAGCAAATTTCTATTACAAAGTATTATTTTTATAAAACCTTTGAAATTATTTGACCAAGAATATAATATTGGTTCCCTACAGGATCTGAATATTATGGAAATTATTAATTTAAAATTATTCAGCAAATATCAGATAAAAATTTAGCAAATTTAATTAAATTTTCAAAAGATTAAATTTTTTTAAAAAAACCTCGGTTATCTTCGAACTTCGACCTCACCTCAAATTCGACCCTCGACCTAGATACTCGGTTTTTCAGTCTCGGTGATCCTCGGTCTCTTTATTTCGAAAAACCTCGACCTCGCGCAACCCTAGTTTATATTAACAATTAATTAGTAATTTACATATAGCTTAATTAATTCATTTAAAATTCCAAACTTGATTATAAAAAATTACTTTTCGTTTCACTTAAATTTTCTGTTTAATTATCTGTTTGGATAAATTTAAGTTTAATTTAAATAGAATTTCGTTTATTAAATATAATTTTCACTCCCAAAAAGATAAGAGAGAGCGTTTTGACGTTAACTAAATTGAGTAAATCCAATCATCCTTTTTTAAAAGTTGTTGACAAGTCAAGTTTAATAGCTTTTGATTATCTCTCTTTAATTTTTGTTTAGAAAATTTGTTTATTTAGCTGATTATTTTAAAAAACCAAAATGAAAGCTGAATTCTGCCATACCAAAGTCATTCACTTAATTTTTTAAATTTAATATACAAACAATTTTGCCAACAATTTTTTTATATTTAATTAAATATAAAAAAATTATTTTTTAGAATCTAATAAAAATAAATTAAATTATTATCCCTTTTTTATGATAACAAATTTATTTTTCTGTGTGGAAACTTTTTAATATGTTTTGATTAAACTATTTATATCTACAGGGTGCGGCAAAAGTTCCCTTACTTTTATTAAGCATAAAATTTATTTCAAATATTTTCTTAGATTTTATAAAATCTATAAAAAAGTGTTTATTAATATCTAATGAAACATATAGGGTTGTAGCCAAATTAATTTTGATTTCTCCGAGATTTGCTTTGAGATTCAAAATAGAGGGGTATATTGGAAGGAGATCAGAGACTAGCCGGGTTAGTATGATCTAGATAACTAGACTGAAAACTCCTCTTCTCCACAGTCTAACAAAAATAATTTATACGTGACCCTATTTTCATTATAATAAATTTATATTTTTTCTAGAAAAAATATCAATTTAATTTTAAAAATGCAAAGAAACTTTATTAAACAATGCAAAGTTTGTGGTACAAAAGAACATGTTTGTTTTCATTATGGAGTTACTACATGTAGGGCTTGTGGGTCTTTTTTCAGGTATTTCTTATTTTTGTTACTACTCCAGAGATGGGCCCTTTTGTATTTTTAAAAGCAAAAGATGGAAGAGACCTCCTCCCCACAGTCCGCTTTTTCTTCTTGCACGGAAAAAGTAAAGTTTCCTTTCCTCTGTCGCGTTTTGTACGTGAAATTATAAGAAAAATTATTAGAAATTATTAAAAAACTCATTAGTCGTTTTTTCTCAACTACATATTTAATCTAAAAATGTAATTCTCTAACTCTTACTAGCTTTAATAAATTTAATAAAATTATGGCAAATAGCAATTTTGCCTTAAAATCCCTTTTTCAAACAATATATTTACTTTGGTATTTTACACCTCCTCCTCATTTAGAGGAGGAGGAGGAAAAATAGAATGGCCGGCCATTCTATTAGAGACTTTATGTTAATTAAAAATCCTTTAAAAGGCGTTATCTTGAAAACGAAAATGAATCCAAATATAAATGTAAATGTTTGCCAAAACAATTGCCAAATGAGAATAAAGACGGTAAATCCGAAACAAATTTGGCAAAATGTAGAAAATGTAGACTTGAAAAATGTCTTTCTGTTGGAATGAAAAGATTGAGTTTGTTAAAGTTAGAGCTCAAACCCTTCAAATTGCCGGGCTCTTATCAGGGTATTTCGTTCATATCCTGTCCCCCCCCCCCCCCCCACCCCTATGTGAGTCTCAGATTAATTTTCCTTTTTTATTGTCAATCATTTATTTTCCTCCTTTTTTAATGCTAATGATTTTCTCCTTAATTTTCACCTAAAATCAATTTTCACCAAAGTACCCTTATACACCCGAAAGTTCGTGCGGCCAGGGCGGCGCAGTTCCAACGCTGGAATATTTTTGGCCCATCATTTTTGGTATCAATCTTTTTAGCTCGATGAGAGGAATCGTTTAATATTAATTTTGAAAGGTTCTAAAATCTTGAAGTAAGTTATGGCTCTGCGGCTTTGGGTGTTCCATATTTGAAAGAGAAAATGTTTGTATTAAAAAAGGAGGAAAATAAATGATTGACATTAAAAAAGTAAAATTAATTTTAGACTTATATTTGGTGTGGGCAGGATATGAACAAAGTACCCTTATTTGTGTTCTTTCAATCACGGGCCGTGGTTTTTCGAAAACACAAAACCTTGAAAATACAAAAAACCCTGATAATACCAGGTTTCCAGGCTATTGGCTCGGAATATCCGATCTCGGCCCGGGTTTGAGCTCTAGTTAAAATATTTAAAAATGATTTTTTAATAAAAAAGTGATTTTAGATGTTGTATATTTACGTCAAGATCTATGTCGTGATGAAATAAAAGAAGGAAGGAAGGAAATTAACGTAAGTCTATTTATTCCAAAAAATCTTTCTACATAATCATACATATTAAATACTGCGTATCTTCTAGTAGAAGCACGCTCTCTAATAGAAGCACGCTCTCTAATAGAAGCACTCCTTACGAGAGGATTAAAAAAGGTGATGTAGAAACTAGGTCTATAATTTCTAGGGGCATATATGTAGACGCCGGTGGATTAGTTGTCAGGGAGCAGGTAAGAGATATTATACAACACTTAACTATGTATTCTTGTGAATGTGCAATTGTTTGATTAGGCAACATTCATACAACATTCCTTCTACTTTTTATTTTTAAGCTTTTGAATCCTCAAATTGTCGACATATCCACCAAAGATCGACAAAAAATAAACTCAATTTTACCAATTATTGAAGCCAAAAAACGTATTATGCATGCATTTAATGATTTGGATGATATATTCCTTAATGGCCCAATTTTGTTTGAAGAAACAATTTCATCTAATTTTAATATTTTTCGTTTAACTGACACTTTTTCGGTAAATTTTAATTTAATTTTTAATAAAAATTTTTGATTTATAGCCAAATCCGACTCCAATAACTTTTGATGGTTTAAATAGTTGGGAATCTTCATTTAGAAATAAAGGAATGATTAATAAACGCTGGCATAAATATTTTTTAGTTGACAGACTTTTGTGTTTTGGTATAGCTAAATCTATGCCTGTTTTTGATAAATTGACTTTATCTGATCAGGTAATAAGAGCAATATATATTTAGTATTTGGCTAACTTTCCTCTCATTTTAGTTGAAAACTAAAAATTAAAATTATCCTTCCTTGGATCTGAGAGATTTTTAACCTTAATCAGTGATTGGAAGTTCGTACCGTATGAGTACGAGCAAATTTCAAAATTTCCTATCACTGACCATAAGTAAATTTTTGGATGGGTCTACCCTTTGTAAGAAAAATTTATTTTTATTTTTATAAAATAGATTGCACATCTAAGGCAGATTTGGCACTTGTTTCGTACATTTACAAGCACCTACCTAGCTTGGGAATTAGACTCTGAAACCTGGACACGTAAAGATAATGTTACGCCTGTTCTTGGTATTATGAATAATAGTGAATATTCACATGATGAAAAGTAAATATTTTTCTAGTAATTTTACTCAAAATTTTAATCTTATTAATAAAATTCTACACGGTCTGGCAAATTTACCGCGTTCTTATTTTGGTCATACCTCATTTTATTTTTAATTGAGAAGATATGGAATATATTTTTAATTTTTAGGTTGCTTAAATGGGCAGATTATTCATTTACAAAATCTGTCGTTCACTTCAAACGTGTTGCATTAACAAGCGTTGAATTTGCTTTGCTAATAGCTATTATTTTTACAAAATCTGGTAAAAACTTTAAGTTGAAATAAGAGTTTATAGCAGGGCTCGGATCGACAAAATGGCAATCATAAGTACAAAAATCTTGATTAAAAAGTACATAGGGAGAAAATTTGCAAATAAAAAATACACTCCAAATTAAATTAAAAAATATTTATTCGTCCTCAAATCTTTCATATTTCCCTCCAAAATGAATCTTTTCTAATAATTTTTTGTTTCCACTGAACATTTTGTGCATCTCAAAACACTTTTTTGTGACGCCGAAGGCGCCACAAAATCCATTTTTTGCACCGCAGGTAGGCTATGGTAGAGCTAAGGCTAGTGTATAAGGCTAGGATATAAGCGCCTAATCATGTCCCATTATCATTTCCCTTTAGCATGTCCCTTTAGCATGTCCCTTTGGCATAAATTTTTATTTAAATAAATTTTTTTCAAAAAAGATACTAAAGACATGTCTGCCGAAGGAAAAGAATTGCTTTATGACGAATCCGTTAAATACACAAATATTTTACTTCGATATAATCAACGAAGATTAGGTTTACTTGAAGGGGCTCAAAGATTGGATGAATGTTTTCGTTTAATTAATCGAAGTATTGAAAATGAATATACTTTGAAGTTATTTCTCTCTCATCAACTTAAATATTATTCACTGGGTGTACATTACTACTTTAAATGCCCAAACTTTCTTAAAAAAATTTTGGAAAAAACTGATTAAACATAAATGATTTTTAAAAATTTTATTTTTTTCGTTTTCGTTTCGTTGAGGGCAAAATTCTATTTTCGCCCATCTCTGGTCCTTACTCCTCATGTTCTATTTTATTCTTTACCCTTCTATTAATGCCGCCTATTTTTATCATTAAAAATATAAAAAATTAAGTAATAAATATTAACATAGACATACTTTTGTAATGATTTTACAATTATTATGGCTGTACTGTAGTGTACCTGTGGTAAAAGTTCGGGATTTGACATATGTCATTCGACTCAGCTCGACAAGCTCCTTCGAATGAGCTATTACTTGCATATTCGAATTTTTCACCCCAAAATCGAGCTTATTCCCCCCTATGGTTTTTCAATATTTCGGGACCTATAACTCTGTCCAGAATCATTTACTAAAGTATGGAGTGGTACCGTCGACTCAGCTCGTCGAGACGAATCGAATAACATATGTCACGTCCCGAACTTTTACCACCGGTACACTACACTATATCCATTATTATAATTGTTATAACGACTAGGTAAATATAAACTATAATCATTTATGTTGCCCAACTATTTAACCCATCAAAAGGTATTGGACTTGGATTTGGCTTTAAAACAAAATTATTTTTATTAAAAATTAAATTAAATTTACCGAAATATTATAAACTAAACGAAAAATATTTAAATTAGCCGTTAAAGAAGGACAGCTTGATCAAGTTGTTTCTGAGGGCCTATGTCTCAGAGATGGGCCGGGGGTACTTTATTAATATCCCGCCCCCACCCCTATTTGAGTCTCAAATTAATTTTTCTTTCTATTTCTCCTGCCTCGGAACGGTCAAATTTCCTTGCTTATAAATGTTAAATTTTGCCGTTAGACACATTTTTGGGTTGCCGTCTATTATTTCCTTGCTAATTTTAGCCTTTTAGCTGTAAAGTTTGAAGGAGAAAATTATTGATAGTAAAGGAAAGGAAAATTAATCTGAGACTCAAATAGGGGTGGGGGGCGGGATATTAATAAAGTACCGGGCCGGGTTGAGAAAAAAGTCGGATCGGGTTTTAAATTTTCTCTGGATGCCGTTTCGGCTCAAAAAAAGTTCGGGTATCGGGTCGGGTCAGTTCAAAAATTTTACCAAAACTCCTAATTTCTCGGAGCGCTTGAGGAACCCCTGTTAGTTCGAGGATTAATAGATCTTTTTAGATCGTTTATCATTTTAGATCGTTTAAATACGCCTAAACGTTTTAAATGCTCTAGGTGAATCATCATTACATTATGATTGGATTTAATCAATTTAGTTAAAGGGGGAATTCATCACAAAATGGAGAAAGGAAAAAGTTAAAAAATAATTTTAGTCGATAGAAATAAATTTAAAAATTCATTTTTTTCAAAAATCATTAATTTTTAATCATTTTTATTCAATGAAGCTTCAAGAAAGTTTGAACATTTATAGAAATTTGAAGACATTGAATAACATTTAAGTTGATGAGAGAGCATCAATCTATAAGTGTATTCATTTTCAATGCATCGGCTAATTAGTCGACTACATTCAGCCAATCTCTGAGCCCCTTCAGTTAAACCTAATCTTCGTTGATTATATCGAAGTAAAATTTTTGTGTATTTAACAGATTCGTTATAAAGTAATTCCTTTCCTTCTGCTGACAGACCCTTAGCACCTTTTTATAAGTTTAATTAAATTACTTTAAAAAATGAGATTAAATAGTAGATAGTAAAAGGGTTTAGGCCATACAGCATCTCGACAAGCTTATAATTTTCCAAGTTAAAATTTGGATGGGTATTTTTCTGTTTTGCCACACCCTCTAAATTATTGTCATATATAGGATAAAAAATGGTGTTGATTCGAACGGTACCATTCTTTTTCCCCGGAGATGTCTGAGGATCGAGATATAGGGCTCGAAATGGAATTTTGATAAAAAATTCGAATATGCAAATAATACCTCATTCGAAAGCTTTTTCGAAAATTGAATTTTTACCTCAAAATGAGCTTATTCCCTCCTATGGTTTTTGACCATTTCGAGCCCTATATCTCGGTTCTCAAACATCTCAGGGGAAAAGGAGTGGTACTTAGCACAATTTTTTATCCAATATATTACTTTTTGAACATTAATTTAGGGGGTGTGGCATAACGGAAAAGTACCGCTGGTTGATTAAAATTTTCAAAACTTTTTTTTCGAGTTATCTAAGCTTCTAAAAACTTTAAAAATTTGGGTTTAAATTAACTAAATTATGGTCAAAAGCTTCTCGATAAAACGGCCATTTTCACTCATGATAAATTCTAGATTATTTAATCAAAAATGCTGAAATTTTTACACAAGTTAGATATCTTCATTAACGATATCTACTCAAAATTTTAGGATTTAAAGCAGAGCTTTGATTTCTGCGGATTTTTCCTCATTTTGTGGTTTTTTGATAGGTCGATGAAGATTATTTTTAAAAATGCGGATTTGCATATTTTTGGGGTTTTTGAAGATTATGAGGATTTCTTGTATTTTCTTGTGGTTTTTAAAATAAAAAAGTCATTTTTTCTCTTTTAGACTTCCAAAATCCTAAAATTTTCGCTGCGGCGCTGAAAGAAATAAAAATTTTAAGTCTATTTTTCATGCACTTCTTCGAATTTTCATCAGATGATCACTAGTAATGAAATTTTCCTCAATTCATATGTTTGAGTCAAAAAATATAACCCAACCCGTAAAGTGATTTTAACTCAATTTTTGTTTTTGTTGATTGCCTGCGGCGCAAAAAAGGTTTTTGCGGATTTTTAATATAAAATGCGGATTTTCGAAGCCCTGATTTAAATTGTTAATCTATTTAAATTATAAATTAAAGTTCTTACTCGATCCAGTAAAATAATAGCTATTAACAAAGCATATTCAGTTTTTGTTAAAGCAATACGTTTAAAATGAGCAACGGATTTTGTAAATACATAATCCGTCCATTTAATCATTCTAAAAATCAAAAAATATTTTTCATGCTTTTAAATTAACCGAGCATCGTGTAAGAATAAATCATTCTTCATAATAGCAAGGGCTGGCATAACACAATCTTTACGTGTCCAAGTTTCAGAGCCTAATTCCCACGCTAGGTAAGAGCCAGTAAATGATGTGAATACATAAGAAATATGCCTTAGAAGTGCGATCTACATATTTTATAAAAAGAAAATAGTGTTATTTAAATTAGTTTCAACAAAGAAATTAAAAAGGTTATCAATGGATTTGATGGAAACAAACCATTTTAATCTCACTATAATATGCACAAATACCATTTAATGCCTTGATATCAATCTCATTCCTCTGATCACTCGATATATCCCTAATCTACACAAATCCACAAAATAATATTATCGTATTTACCCCTCCCTCAAATAATTCCCCACCCTCTATTAATTCCCCATGCCAGGGATGAGTTGAAAAAATAATTCCTCGGGGGAATTAATCGAGTAAATACAGTATACATTGATTTTCCACCCGGAGCCTGGAGTCAACATAGATCGTGTGAGTATCATAGAATTTAGGCTGATTAAGAGGGAAATTGGCTGATTAACGAAAACTGGGATTTGGTGAAAACTTGAAGCAATTAATTTTCATACACCTTCATGTAGATTATTAATACCTGATCAGATAAAGTCAGTTTTTCAAAAACAGGCATAGATTTCGCAATACCGACAAGCAAAAGTCTGTCAACTAAAATGCATTTTTGACCTCTACTAGTATATAATCCTTCATTTTTAAATGAAGACTCCCAACTATTTAATTCATCAAAAGGTATTGGACTTGGATTTAGCTTTAAATGGGATTAATTTTTATTAAAAATTAAATTTACCGAAAAAGTGTCAGTTAATCGAAAAATATTAAAATTAGATGAAATTATTTCTTCAAACAAAATCGGGCCATTAAGGAATATATCATCCAGATCATTAAATGCATGCATAATACGTTTTTTGGCTTCAATTGTTGGTAAAATTGAGTTTATTAGTTTTTGGTCTTTGATGGATATGGTGACAGTTGGGGAATTTAGTATCTTAAAAATGTGAGAATTTTAATTCTTGTTTTATTATTTTTTGTTTTTGTTCCTTCGGGTATTGCAAAGGTATGGAATATTTTCAAATTAGTTTTATAAATCTCCGTAGATTTTATTTTGCCAAAAATATTTGAATGCTTTTCTCTCGATGATGATAATTTAAACTTTTTCAATATTCGATTTTCAAAGATTTTTTTTCGAGACAACCCTAGTCAGAAGTAACTGAGTCTTTCCTATTCCTGTATAAAATAAATAAATTTACTTTAATTTCATTTTTTTGTTCTTCCATCGCTTCCCGACATATATCATGACGTAAATATCCAACATCTAAAATGCTTTTTTTTATTTAGGGTTCAGCGGTACAGTATTCCGAGAAAAATCGGTATCAGTAAAATCGGTAGCGGTATTCAAAGAGACCGGTATAATACCGCTCGATACCGCTCGGGATCCCGATACAAAACGCTGAACACTATTTTTATTAATAATTATTTTTAAATATTGGATACCTTATTTCCGGCCTATTGTTTTTATTTCGGTTAAATCCACATGAAGGGATATAAAAGGATTAGAAGTGATTAAGAGAGTATTGGAGATTTGCAGGGTTAATGGGGGATTTTTGGGATTAACACTGATTCGGTGATTAATTTATCAGTAATTTGGAGGGATATCGGGTGATATAAGAGGGGGGGGGGGGTGGACAGTTTTTTACCCTTATTTTGACAAACCCAATTTTTTCATTCCAACAGAAATACATTTTTCAAGTCTACATTTTTTACATTTTGCCAATTTTGGTTGGGATTTTTCGTCTGTATTTTTATCTGAACATTTACACAAATTATATTTCCATTGATTTTCGTTTTCAAGATAACGCCTTTAGAAAAAAAATTTTGGAAAAATTACATCA